AATTTTTAAAGATTTTCTTTCCTTACTAAAGCATTGTTAAGAGTACTCGGACTATAAATTTACAATATGTCACGCATAAAGTAAAAATTTCGTTCTGGTCATGCACGCAATGATATATATTTCCATTGCGTGAGTGACTGAATGGAAAATGTAAAATAGTTATGAAGTAGCACGGAAGGTTAAAAATGAGGTTAAAATTTGGATTGTTAAGAAAATACACGTGCTAAGAATAGGAATTTTAAGAATAGAAAAATTTGTCTCGGCATCTTTTCTATCGAGAGACCGGAATAGTTTATTCTTAATTTGCTCGATTCGACGCGCTTTGTCAGAACAGAATTCTCTTTTCCAATAAGCACGTAACAAAAACGGAGAACAATTGGAAACGAGGTTGAAAAAGAAGAAATCACGCGCGGCGATTCGGTAACGATAATATTTCGCTAACAGTCAGGCAAAATGTAATTATGTAAGGGGAGATAATTTTCGAAAGGGGAACCGCTGTAAATGACGTATCCACAAATATCCTTTCCCTAATTCGCACCCGAGATGTTATCGCGAAGATCTTGATTAATGTGTACTCTTAACGAAATACGATAGTTAAAAGCGATGGCGAGTGGCGTGCGATTTTTATCAAATCACACTTTTAAAAAATCTGTCTTATACACATCTATTATATAATCAAATAACATATCTTTCGATTAAATATAATACATGAAACTACATGTATACACGTAGGTCTCATAGATTAACGTATAATGAAAACGAAGAAAAAAGCGACGAAATGTTTCATTCATTTCGAATGTCGTTCAATGATGCCCACCGTCGATATAGGTCGCGTGGGCGAGTCCAGCGAATGATCTGTCCTCCTGTGATAAACGCCGCAGGCGAATAAGGATTCCCTGTACACACAATGTCCACGACAAGGGAGACACGCGAACTTTTAACCTCGGCACGAGTGGAGCGGGAGAAAAGGGAGATAAAGCGCGAGAGAAATCACGCTTCGCACGCATACACACGCACGTGCACGTGTGGGTACAAGCTAGCGGACAAATTTTTTTTTTTCACAGCGAAATAAAGATCTCGTCCGACATAAGAAGGGTACAAGGCGGAAACACCGCTACGGTGGTGGCCGGTACGCGTCCGTTCACCAAGGTGGTAACTCTCTTATCGTCCACCCACCGAGAGTTTATGGTATACATCTTGTATACATCTCACACGCGTAAAGAGTTAAAAGGGATCCGAACCGGAATAATATTTCAATTCGATTGCGGTCTAATAAAAAATTTAATAACAATAATTTTTAATCAATGCAACACATAATGAGGGGAAAGCGACAAATTCGGCCGCGGCTAGATATTGATTGCTTAATAAAACTTTTAAATTTCAGCTATCTGTCGATCTTTAAGAAAGCAATCATAACTTAAAGCTGAAATAAAATCATACATATGATTTTCAATTCGATGATGATATTGCAAGCTAAAACACTGTAAAGAACTTATCGCAAAAAATATTATCAGCCAGGATAATATTTTTTAGACTGACAATAATTGACGCAAAGTTTACGATAGCTGAAATTTAAAAATTCAAAAAATTATTAAGCAACCAATATCTAGCCTCGGCCAAAACATTTAATAATTTGCTTTTTGATTTTTGGCCGATGAAGAAAACTGAAACAGTTTAAATTACAATTTCTTTGATCACAGTTACGAATTTTTTCACACAATTATCTTTTTGCAACAAAAGATATGCATTGTTGAAGGAATCTCATTCGTTTCAAGATGAGCATAGAGAGATGCGTCTTTCCAGTTAAGAATCAAATCATTTTCCCGTCCCCTTTCATTGCGAGACAAATAACGAGTCAGGATATCACCTCGATGGCGCGGTAATATCGCGCGGATACACGCGAAATACTTTATTGCCTGACACGATAGGATCGGGCTCGTTATCTTTAATAAGATCGACTCACATAAAATCGCGGAGAATATAATAACGGAGCGTCGAGCAAAAACGTCGGGCTTGTGCTGCCATTGGACAATGTATAAGTCTTGTGGGTGGATGCCGTGACGCATCGCCATTTGAGATCCACTGCCATCAATGTGCTCCACCAGTCGTAGCAAGAAGTACATAAGATGCGAAATTTAACCCTTGTCAGGATCATTTCGTGCGTGTTTTAATGCCGGCGGCGTATTAACTCGAGATTCTCGCGCCTTAATTAAGGTTTCCGCGTTTAAATAGTCCGATTCCACACGTGTCTCACGTAGGATCGCACCAGCTTGCCTGCCCCCCCTATCGATGGAACTAAACAAATTTTTAATTGTTTAATAAATAACATTCTCCATTGTTGGACTGAGTGACCAATGAAAGATATAATTTCTCTCGGGTGAATATGTAAAATATGTATAATAAAATTTAAAAATATATCTTACATTAATGAAACCTCGATATAGGATATTCTAAACATTATAAATGGATGTACCAATTAGTAGAATAAAAATGCAAATCATAATTTTTTTCGATTACAGATTTATAACGGGATATAAAATGAATGTTGGCTAAAAATGATATATATGCAAGCTGATTCGTGTAACGTTTATACTCTTGCATTAATGATATCTTTGATCGATAAATGACCGTCGCTAAGAAATGAACGATACGATAAACGAAGGATCGCGGATGAGATCAACTACGTTACTCATTATTAAATTTGAGTACGCATCGCACGATCGCCGTAAATAATCGCCCACGTTCGGTGACGCCGGTGGCTTATAAATTTCGTACGGCTATTACGCGAGTCACTTAAAATGCAATGATATAAATTAAAAGATCGCCGGTATAACGATCGATCACGGACCGTTCCTCTTGCGACTTCGCGCTGTTCTTCTTCTTTCTTTTTTTACCTCTGTGTCACTTAAACGACCACTACTTTGCGGTACCGCCCTGTTACTTTCACTTCAATTTACGAAATGTTACATATTACGACACAATCGAATTCAACCGAGATTTTGGAATGTGAATATCGGGTGCTAATAGCGTATTCTTCGGCCTTTTGCGGTGATAATCAGCGCGGTCATTTGAAACGAGGACTGATTTTAACAAGAACATTATTTCATGTCGCAAGAAGATAATCCATTCTCGTTTTACTCGCCGCTCCGCAATATTTTCAGACGTTAATAAGTGCGCGGGTAATGTGACAGACAAATACACGCGTATACATGCACAAAACTGTGTACACATATACGAACACACATGTACGTCGCAAATAGATTGAGGCCTACTCTCGCCGTTCGCATTGCCCGTTCGGCATGAACAACGACTCTTCGGTATCACCGTGAGCCGGACCCTAATATGGAAGCCGTGCTCATTTGGTGCGTTCACGTTTTACAGCTGAAATGAATTTATGGAAAGGACACCTCTTCTCGTTCATCGGAGCGAGAATGGGAGAGAAAGAGCGAGCGAGCGAGCGAGCGAGAGAGAGAGGAGCCGCCGCGACGCGGCAACGCCAACGAAACGATAAATTTAACCCTTACCGGCTCCACTGACGCTAAATAGATGCCCGCGCTGCCGTCCTTTGACATAAACGCTCAGCATAAATTCATCAACCTTTTGACCGATGGTGTCCGTTGGTGTCTCCGCGCACAATCAGCTTCCTTCACGACGCGTCCCAGAGCGCCGCCTCGCGAGGAGCACAATGCTTGAATAGTGCACCTTAGCAAACGGGTATATGCGACAATCTCTCACAAATCCCTCGAATTTCTCTCAATTTCCTCAATCTTCCATTAATTCATAACACAAAGCACAGACCAAGTTTGAAAGCAATATAAATTCACATCTAAAAATCTGAATTTACAGAAATCGGCCAGATGAAATGACAAACGTATACATTCATAATGTAAATCTTTTATCTTTGTAGAAACACGCTTTTACCTGTTATATTTTCAGATGTTTAGACATAAGAAAAACTGAATGGTGCAAAAAGCGGAGCTTTTTTTCAAAATATGGTATTGTGACCATGGCATGATTTTGCAAGAGAGACATAAAAAAGGCCAGTATTCATAGTCGATTCTTACGTTTAAGATCGTCTTAAGCATACTCTTAAGATATCATAAGCCAACCACAGAGTCGAGCATCATAAGGTATTGCTCAAGACGATCTTGAAATAAATACCGACTATAAATGTGCTTGTTGTCCCATCGTATTCATCACGATTGTAACGCAATAATTTACCCTAACAGCACAAATCACTGGGGGCAATATTGGTCGCAAATTGATTCCTAAAGGTGCACGGAGTAAGACGTTTTTATAGTCGACATTAAATTCCAATACTGAGTTAATGCATACACCTCATCTTCAATCAGTAAAGATTTAAACCGAATTTGCATGAGAGATTATCGCATGTTCCTGGCGAAGCACTGACAAGCGAATTAAACCTGAACGAGTTTGACGACGATAGAGTGAAACACGCCAACCGGCTCGGACAGATTCGAGACAGAGCGGCGCGTAGGTGTCGACTATGATAATGGAGTGAAAAATGAACATCGTGAGGAAACGGACGTGCGATAATTCATTCGACACGGTAAACGAGCTGAGAGCACGGCGTAATTAATTGCGTTCGCGCTTTGCGCGCACGGTGCGATGGCGGGCGTCTAGTTGTAGTAAATTCACGTGATGGAAATACTTGACAAGGCAACGTCCGTTTGAACGTGCCTGGCTAATCGTGAGCCTCGAGTTTCGGAACACAGTCGACACATGCAAATTTGAAATGAGCCTTGTACGCAGCCGTAGATGTTAAATTATTATATAATATAGATATTTTTGCATAATTTTATTCTTCCATAAAAAAAATAAGGCAATATATGTATTAAAATAAATTGAAATACGATCAGTTTGGATTTTTAAGGTTCTCTCAAGTTTGTCCTTTGAACTTCTCTTGTATTGAGAGTCTGATCTTCTAATCCGTACGATGAGATAAGAAGAGACGAAAATTCGATATTTTCTATTTCCAGGTAGCAGAGAGGCGGCTTTCACGTACGCGATAAGCTCGGCCGGCGTCACGTACGCGGTGACCGCGGCTTGCAGCCGTGGCAACATTACAGCTTGCGGTTGTGAACCGGCCGTAAGGTAGCTATAAATCCCGTGACGTTTTGCGCACAGCACGCAACGTGTTAATTATTATCCGATTAATATCACGTTTTTGCAGGACGAGGAAAGAATTGCCGCCGAATGGTTGGGAGTGGGGCGGCTGCAGCGCCGACATCACGTACGGGATGAGGTAATTAAGCTGATAGTTAATTAATTTGCACTATCAGTTCTCGTCGCCTCTTATATACGCCAGCTCGCTCGCGAACGTACAGAGCGGTATACGTGCATGCAAGTACGAGTGAACGCTAAAACACGTATGAATTTTAATATTATAATTTAATGCTAGGTTCGCGCGTAGGTTTCTGGATGCGAGGGAGATCGAGGGGGATGCTCGCAGCCTGATGAACCTTCATAATAATAAAGCCGGAAGAAAGGTAAGCGCGAGTAATTAATGCCGGTGTTCTTTTTTGCTTGCACTTTTATATTCGTAATATTAATTAAAAAAAAAAGCTGATAGCTTTCTCACGAGAGGAGCCCGCGGGCGTCACAAGTCATGAAATATGCGTCAGCAGAAAGTAATACTATGTAATGAGCACCATAATTGCCGTGAAGCAATACTAATTACTGTAACCCGCAAGAGAAATCGTTTAACGCGGAGATTAAGCTCGCCGGCATTTGACGACAGCGCGGCACTTCGCGGCATTTCTCAATCACCACGTCGTGTAATTATATTATACGCGAGATTCTAAGATTATATAACACCGTATTATACAAAAAGGTATACAATATAATTGAAACATCCTGCCGTTCCCCTAAAACTTCATTTGCCCCGTATGTCTAAATGTTTACGCCTGCAAATTGATTGCGCCGCTGCGAAGCTCGCGATTTCTATAATCAGAGAGATACAGTTGAAAATTTTGTATTCTTAACGCGTCGAAACTAAACGACTTGCCTATTCTTAACACTTCTTCTCAGTCGTACTATTTCTATTGCAACGATATGTGCGTAGAATACTTTATCTCACTCGTGTTATTTTCATTCTATTACGTATGCTTATGTTGTCATGCGAAAAATGAGTGAAAGGACAATAATTTAAAAGTGATAATATTACAAGGATATTAAGACTAATTGTAAGCAATCAATCAATTTGTCAAAAATAGGAATTTTCAATTGTATGTTTTATAGATATGTGTTTTAATATGCTAATATTTTATACTGAAAAATCGTTATAGAAATTGAACCTGACATGTTAACTTGCGCGAAGGCTATGGGCAACGGATTAGACCGGATAACAGGGTGATAATATCGATAATGATGCGCGTCCACGGCGCACCAAGTGTATGCAAATCGGACATCAATTTTGATTTATCGCCCAATAACCTATGCGGGAAGCCAATTATACCGAAGTAGACAATGTCGTCGTTCTGCGATTTGCCTGCATAGCACATAACTGTTTGCTTTAGTGTATCTATAGATATCTTAATGTTCCGTCTATGGTAATGTTCCAATTTTTATTTTGAGAAAGAGAGGAACACACAGGAGGTGGATTGGAGGGAAGAAAAAAAAAGAGGGCGAGAAAGAGAAAGCAAGAAATTACTGACGCATATACAGGATTAAAAGCCGTCCTTTCCGATCTAATCTATATACGGTCCTTATTTTATCATTATCATCCTCGCACGGCGCGCAGCGAGGTCGATGATCGAAAACGAACGTTTGTAAGAAACAATTGCGTTATGCCCGAAGGTGAAGGCGGTGAGGGCGGCGCGCCTTAATTGGGGAAAGTTCGTCCCGACGAGCTTTCGTCTACCTCGATTGGCCCTTATTACAAGCGGGCAATAAAAACTCGCCGTTGGTCCGCGTACGTGTACGTATATACGCGCGTACGTGTATTACCCGGAGGTAATGATTTATTCTTAACGTTGATCACCCCGGCGCGCCACATATTTTATGCCTTGGGGATTTTTTTAAACCTTCCGCCGTATGTGGCACCGGCGCGCGGTGCGCGCCGGAATAATTCGAAATGTTAAACCAGTTTTCAGTGCGTATACGGCGTCGTGTCCGCGGCCTGGCGGCCACAATGAAGGGTCGTCCCCGTCCAGGGGAATCGAGCGTGCGTAGGATTTTGCAGATGAACATTCGATACGATTACAACCGTTTAAGATCACCCTCGAGTTAATCGAAATGCATCTGCCGCGCCCAGTGGCGTGGCGATGCGAAATCCCCGCTGTAATTATCTGCAATCTCAAAGGGCATTTGTGATTATCCATAAGCGCGAGAACGCGAGTGATTTGTAACAATTTCAACAGTCGGATATATATATTTCATAGATTTGTATATATCTATGAAGAGTACAGTATACATAATTGAATTTTCTTACTTTTAACGTGTCGGAATATCAAAAAGACTTAGCACTTTCCATTTCTAGTACGTCTCTGCAACTTTTCATTCACGCGTAAAATGCTTAGGTTACAAAAATGATTGTATGATAATATTTTTGTTTTACATATGTATGCCAAATGAAAAAATATATACATCCGTAAGATAGTGAATATATAGTTATAGGTTTGTGATAAAGAATATTAAAAAAAATATATTGCACGCAGGGTGACTAAAAAAATTAAATTAGATGGAATATTATGACAGTCGAAACTCTACGCCATTGATTTCTCTTCGTAATGGACCCGTGTATATCGTTTGAAAATGATTCAAGCATCGGGCGACGCATTCATTCTCATCGGGCGCATTGTAAGTTTTTGTTTTCATTCCCGTCCCCGTTCACCCGTTCTCCGACCAAAAAGGCTCCGATCGCATGTGTAGATTCGAAATTTGCATAGGATACGCGTGTATAACGCAAGGAACAAATCGATGTACACTTTATTAAGCGCACGGGTGTAAGTTGCAATCTGTTTCGATGTGATATATAGATGCTGTTTCGAGGTTCTACACAAAGAATCTCTGTTATATATTTGGACTTGTGAAATCAATTTCGAAGGGTAGCAGAAATTTTTTTATTGCGGAACAAAATAAAATTGAAGTCAGTTATCGGACGATAACGAAGAAAATATATAATCTTATAATTATGGAAATTACAGAATATTTAATGTTTGTAACGTTTTATCTTTACAGATAGTCAAGGCTCTTTTGCAAACGGAATGCAAATGTCACGGCGTGTCCGGATCCTGCACGGTGAGAACGTGTTGGCGAACGTTACCCAGTTTCCGTCAGATCGGCGATGCGCTTATGAAAAAATATTACAGAGCTAGACCTGTCATCGCCATGACACCGCCCCCACCCCCACCCACGGTTCAGGTAGCCCGCTCTATAAATGTCTATTGCGAATAAATCTGCGATCAATTTAAAGCACGCGATTAACTTAATACAAATCAAATAGCCGTGGTTTGTTAATGGTTCTCGTCGCTACTTCCGAAATTTAATGCAAATCATTTTACGTATAGATAAATAATTTACAGACACTGGACGCGATGTCGCATTCAATGTTGCCGGAAATGGTGCCCATATTGGGAAACGACGCCAAGACTCAGGGCAAGCCGAACGATTTCGCCAAGTCGCGGCACAATCGGCAGCCGCTGTTGAAGAAGACCGCACCGTCCAGGAGGTCGCACTTGATCTTGAAAAAGGCGAAAATCGGCGGTAGCTCGAGTATAAGCGAGAGGAGACTTCCGAAAAGAAGCGAGCTAGTTTTTCTTCAACCCTCCCCCAATTACTGTGAGCCAGACTTGGCGCGAGGTAGCCTCGGCACGCAGGGCAGATATTGCAACCGTACTAGCAAAGGTAAGAGAATGAGAAGTCCCGACACAAAGATTATATACGATTCAACATTAAATACTTCTATTTCTCGTTTCCAAAAAATTTAGCTTGCTGCTTCAGATTTTGGTTTCTATTTCGACATTTAATTTAATTATCGAATGATGAGACAGTCTACTTAAAAATTAAACGATAATCCTTCAACAAGACCGTTTTACCTCGCTCGTGAGAATATCTTTTTTTTTTTCTGTCTCTAGGAACCGATGGATGCGACTTAATGTGCTGCGGTCGCGGCTACAATACACATCAATTCACGAGAACGTGGCAGTGCAGATGCAAGTTTCACTGGTGCTGCCGCGTACACTGCGAGACTTGCATGGAACGTACCGAGGAGTACACATGCAAATAATATACTATTACCGACGTACAACGTGTATATAGATTTGCGAAATAGTACATGTAATTATAAACGTTTAAGACTTTTATCTTCAAGAGCAAAAGGAACGATCTTAACGCACTAAGAAACGTTAATATTATACGTCATTGCAAAGACAAAACTGTATGAGAATATCATAATTTAATTATTATATTGTACAATGTTCTTCTTGATGATGTTAAAGTTGAGTAGGGAATATCTGATAACTTTTTCGGGCCCTTATAAAATTCCGGGCCGCATGTAGAGGTTTTTTTAGTAGTTAAACATTGAATATTAAATCTAAAAATGGATTAAATCTAAAAATGGATCGTTAAGCGCGTAAACATCGTCCTGTGAGCTGACTTTAGATCCCGTCGAGAGAGAGAAAGAGAGTTGCGCGAGCTTCATCCCGCTTTTATTTTCTATTCTGTATTTAGGGATGGGATTAAGTTCAATACGTATTTATGAAACTTGTTAGTCAATGTGTCTAAATATCGTTTCATCGATATATCAGGTAATATAAGATAAAAGTAAGTAAATCTCGAGTTTTATTCTAAGAATTATAGATGCATTTTAGGTAACTGTAAGAAACGTAATCCAATCAAGATCAAGTACCTAACAACTCATATCGATATTTTTTTTAGAACAGACTCGTCCAACACTTTGCTCACGAATTAACGCATTTACCGCTCGATTAGCTCGTTTGAGTAAAACAAAGAGGAAACAGAAAAGAATAGACGTTAGAGCCAGCTTTTAGCATCTATTCTTCTTTGTTTTCCTCCTGTTTTTCTCAACGAGATGATGGAGAGATAGAAACACATACAAAGTTTTTGAACAGGCCTGTTCTAGAATATATTTTATATAATATCGATATCATTTAGGACATATCTATTCTTTCGAGAAAAAAAATGAACTGATATTGTCCCATCAAATATATAATATCAGTCTCATTGTCAAGTCGATACTCACACATGCACTTTTTTCCGACAATAAATTATTTATCGTTAGAATTCTTGCAACACAATGCGTAGTCATATAATGCGGAAATTATCGTATAATAAATAAAATTCTGTAACATTTACGAGTCTTATTTTGATAACATTTGCTTCTCGTTATTCAATTGTAATCGGCATTCATCGCTTTTAAATGACAAAATTCTTTTTATTTTTTATATAGAATATAATAAATCTTTTAAAATCTAAAAAAAAAAAGGTAATGCAACTTTTTTTACGAGAAACACGTCTAACTAGTATCTACAAATCCATTACCTCATCGTAAGTTAATAGAAGAAGGAACTCACCGACACGACGCCAATGAATCTGCTGCATCCCAGCCTCATCCTCGTCTCAAGTCCCCGCGCTGAAAAAATTGGCGACATTTTAAACAGTTGCCCCTTGTAATTATTATTTAATTAGTTATATAAAAATACGAGTGATCCATAACCATGATCAATCAATAATGCGTCGATAATTGCAACTTCGATCTGTGCATTTTTATTTACAATGAAGCCAACGAAACAGGCAATTGCATATTCCAGTTAAATTTTTAAAATCTACGTTAATTTTAATGAATCTATGTTTATTAATTAATCCTAAATTTTTTAAATTTATGTTAATCCTAAATTTTTAAAATGTATGTTAATTAATCCCATTTCAAGACAATGGATCTGTGAAATGTTTCAAATGTTATATCCAACTAATTATTTATTCACAAATTACATCCAACCGAAATTCGCAAATCCGTCGATAATTGCAACTTCGATCTATGCATTTTTATTTACAATAAAGCCAATGAAACAGGCAATTGCATATTCCAGTTAAATTTTTTAAATCTATGTTAATTTTAATGAATTTATATTTATTAATTAATCCTAAATTTTTTAAATTTATGTTAATTAATCCCATTTCAAGACAATGGATCTGTGAAATGTTTCAAATGTTACATCCAACTAATTATTTACTCACAAATTACATCCAACCGAAATTCGCAAATCCATTATCTCGTCATATAATTATAAGTTTAATTACAGAAAAAGAGATACCGACCGACGGCGATGTGACGCTCCGCCAATGAATCTGTCACCTCCTCGTCGCAAGTCCCTGCGCTGAATCCTCACGAGATGACACGCACTCGCGGAAACGCGGCCGGTGAGATCGAAGTAATTTCGTCACGATATCACAATCGCGATGCTTTACACTCTCAAGTCCGACGACTCGCCGAAAGATTCGAACGTCGACATCTTCACGCCGACGCGACGCCGCGCGGATACGACGCGAGTCGAATCAGCAGCCGAATTGAAGCCGAGCGAGCCGTCCGAAAACGTACGCTCGAGACCGCTCGCGACGTAACGAGCTAATCGAGCGCGTGAATTCCGCGAGATGCAAACGCAATTAAAACGATCGACACGTCGCTGTATGCACTTCGTGCATAAATCACCCGATCCGGTCGCGTAAATCGCGCGAGCCCGACGACGCCGACCGCGCGCGTATCGCGTCGTTCGGCGACGAGGAAATGGCCGAATTGCGCAGCGCGTTCAATTAACAACAGCTCGGCTGCCGACGAACGTACAATTGATCGAATCCACGCGCGTGAGAGCCAGTCGCGTTTGTTGTTTGTCGAGCGAGCTGTAGCTGCTTCGTCGGCGACCGTTCTCAAACTTATACTGACCATATAAATCGGAATTTTAATGCGCGGACGCGAAACCGCGTTTGAATTCTAGCTAGGCCTCCTTCGCGAGACAATCGTCAGGTAAAAATCACGACGAAACGTTAATCCGGTCTATTCCGACGCTCCCCTCACCTACATAGCTAGCTCGATCTCTCTAGAGAGACGCGCGAGCGGCGCGAGGCGTCTGTGCCGCGCAATGATGACTAGGCGCGATTCAATTATGCGAACGACGAGCGATCAATCAATCGCGTAGATGCGAATCTAACGGTTAACAGAGCACTCGGTATCATGCTGAATCTGTAATATAGTCGTAATACCTATACGAAGGTGCGTCCCGCGGCGCGTAATATAATATTTACACACGGAGCGGAGCAGCTCGCTCGGCTGCCTCGCCTCCTGCCGGCCTTTGAGTGCCGGCTCGCCGCGCGGTGTCGCTCGCGACGGAAATAAGTCCCTAGATTATAAATTTAGTGACTTCAACTTCACGGTCGCCGCAATTGGTCCGCCACCTCGCGGTAACTTCGATGTACTATAGATCAAATCGCGACCAGTTTCGGCGGCGCGGCGCCTCGCTAGAATCGTGTTCGAATCGTTTCGGTAATAATGTATGTAATATACTGTGTTCGTCGCCGAAATTTTGCCGTCCAAAAGTGAAATTTTGCCATCGCGCGTCGAGAATTGCTTCGAGAACGAACGCCGCGCGCGAAATTCGTCGTAGTGAATAACGCGATGCGCGAGTGACGCACGTACGGTATACCGTCGCGATTTCGGTGTCGGCTTGATGTCGCTCTTCCTCGCGTTTCGCGATCGTCAAAGGTCGACGAGGGCCAAAAATTGGATCGGGATACGGCCAAAAAGGCATGCGCCCAAAACTGCGCTGGAAACTCCGCCGGAACTTGGCTGCTTTCATCATGTTTTCTTGCATCATTTCATATTACACTTCGATGAATGGACGGCGTACGTTTTGTCGCTATACAATAAGTATCATTGAGTAATCATTATTTCATTTATTAACTTTTATCATATTTATTAACTTTTTAAAAATTTCTATAAAATGTTTCTATAAAATATTACCGTGGTCCCTGTTTAACAATGGTAAATGTAAAAATCTAAAAATATATTAAACATATGTGTAGATATATCTACTCATATAAATATACGTCTATATGTATGTAATATCATAAATATGTCAATTAATAGTCATGGTAAGATACAGTCATTTTAGCATCGCAATATTAAATAATGAAAATATAAAAATACCCAAATAATAATTTTCTGCCGTAAAAACCGCGGTTTAAAGATATCCATTCGCATCTATATCACTTAATACTGTTTAACAATTTCTGCGCTTCCTGTTTCGCTTGTTGATCCTCATCGTTCCTCGCCGGGTATTCAACAGTTTTTTTCAAATACTTTATCGCATCTTCCTGCCGATTTAATTTCAAATATGTCTTCCCTAGCATCAGTAAATTGCGACTGTAGAAATTTGGATCGGCTTTTTCGGCATTCTCGTGATACATCAACGCTTCCTCGTAGGTCGAAGTTGGTGGTTCCCCAAATATGACGGTCGCTATTTTTCGTTGATACCACGCCAGATTTGAAACCTCGTAGCACCAGCTTCCAAGCATATAAAGTAACGTTGCATCACCAGGTTTTAATTCTAACGCTCTCTACAAATTACAATAATAATTAATATCATATGGTAATCGTGATAACTGGCGAGATCATTTTCATATTTTGTATAAAATATATCTCATTTGAATTGCAAATTAATATCCATAATTATTTATCAAATATCTTACCTCCATATGTCTTTTAATATTGTACGATTCTTTTATATTCGCTTTTGTACCCTCCAGAAGACTCTTTCCATTAAGAAATATAGACATCCATTTGTGCACGGCATAGTGATCTTCTTGAATGTCAAGAGCCATACGTATCAAATCGTAACCTTCGTATGTTAACTTCTGCGCTTCTACGTCACTGGCCATTAAAGACATCTTGTAAATGGCTCTACTTAAACGCCACAAGATTTCAACATCCTTGTTATCCTACGTAATATAAAAGACATATTACATTTATATGCAAGTTGCACACAGCATATATATTGCAATATTGTACATATTAAGTAATGGAGATACATTGGATATAATTTAGAAAATTTAATTGTCTTACAGCAATAACTTCAAATTAAATTCAATTTAATTACCTTATATTTTGACAGAAGATCGTATATACCTTTATAGTCTCCCTGATCAAAGAGCGCATCTGCTTTAGTGAGAAGTTCCTTCATTGAAATTTGAGTTTTGTCTTTGTCGTTGTTCTTTACGACTCCCCATATTCCCATTATAGTAAAAGGCGACATTATCGTTAACTTTCTGACAATTTGCACATTGTTTTTCCACTGAAAAACATTACTTATACTTAATAATACTTAATTAATACAGCTGCCTATATCTTAATGCAATTGATGTGTCTTGTAGGTTACCTTATATGCTGGATAAATATTTTTATATAAAGCAGCTCTTGGAAGAAGCCTGTTGTAATTTGTAATACGACATAATCTTTGTAGCAACATTCTGAACTCTAATTTTCGATTAATTTGAGACTTGTGTAAAGGAAGGATGTCTAGATGATGAATTATCAGTAAACTGAAACTTTTAACCTACAAACCGTTGCTGCTATTAATATAGAAACTATCTATCAGAACAATTTACAATGTCACACATTTTTTGAAGCACTTTTCTGTGCTATGACGTATAAAGTTTACGCATAACATTACGCGTAAAAAATTCTATGTATACATTGTGTGCGCTATCTATGTATGTCTACATCTTGTGCACAACTGCACAAGTATGAAGTAACGCAAGTCACGTATGTATATGTATGTATATACATACATATACATGCACAAGCAGCACGTGGCACACAGTTGATTTGTATGTATGTACGTGTATAACTAAGTAAACCGTATACATGCACATGTTTGTTAAGTAATATACTGGAGCAAAGTGTACAGAGTTGGATGATCCGAGATAAGTATTTGACACGCATGCATCTTTTCCGTGCGTGTATGATATCAATGGGATCTAACACGTGTAAATTAAAACATATAAATTAAAACGGTTGAAATTAAAAAACTTCGCGTTTTTTTTTAGTCACAAAAAATCATCACATATTAAACCATAAACACGTAAAAAACTTGCAAAATTTTCCGCGATCTTTGCCATAAAAAAAGAATTAATTAACGTGATATTAACGTAACGTTAAATGATAATAGTAAACATAATAGTAAACGTTGAGTAAATATAAGACATTTCAGCCACAGACAATAATCAACTAAATTTTATCACAAATGGAACAGATCAATCGCCATTTTGGAAACAAATAGACCGATTAGTGCGGTTGAATTAGATCTTTATTTGGAAGATACACAGGTATTCATAGGATAGTTTAACGTAATCGAGATGAGGGAGGTTGGGGGAGTGGATAGTGATTAAACACAAATGTACAAACGAAATACAATAAACACGTTTCAGTGTGGTGCGTGGCTTATTGGCGGCGCAGTATAAGAAACATATCCTTTTTTTTTCTCTCTCTCTCTCTCTCTCCTGGGTCTAGTTAATAATTGTACAATAAACTCGACTTATATGCTAAAGCCTCGCACACTAATCGCTTTCTTCGTTTTAAAAATAATCAGTTTCTTCCATTTTCGTAATACAAAAAAAAATCAGGTAATGCGTTACATCGTAAACGAAGGACATTGCACCGCAATCTCTTTCGCTTAGCCGTGGCTGTGTGAGGCGCATTCATCGTGAAGAATTTCGGAATCACCCAGAAAAAACGGGAGAAGGAGCGATAATAATTTGAAGTACGTTATCACGATATATATCTTTATATATAAAAAAAAACTGCCTTTTCTTAGATTTTTATATATCGTGAATCGTTTACAACTCCCAAACTACTGCTTTCTCGAATAAATTTTGGTTCACGTGTAACGTCTCAAATTCACATGTCAGACAAAAATATCCTCAGCAGTTGGCTCAGAAGGCATTGCTCGCTGTATCCTCTTTTTTTCTGGTATCTAAAATTCTTGTTTTAAATGACGCAAGACAAAGAGATGGTCGTGCCTATTATACACTTACAATCATCTTAACGTTATTTTTAAATACGTTCTTGTAGTCTTTACATGAAATGTTTGTATGAGTTCTCGTTTTTTTTTGTTTTTTTTTATAATAAAATTATTTTTCTAATCTTTGTTAATCAGCTGTTGTTGCCCTGTGAAACCTGCCTTCTGTCATAATACAATAATACTTGCACGGTAGGTTCACACTTCTGAATTTGGTTGATTTTCCTTTGTATATCACAATGTCATCTCTCTGCATCTTCTTTTTTTTTTGTTCATTAACATTTAATCTTCTCCTTCGTAATTACAAACACCAAATTCAAATGCAAAGTTTTATTTTGTTCAATGTCATATTTAAGAAACATCCTAAGCCGCAAGTACCCGCAAATGCCAGCGCGCAATTATATTCTTCGAATTTTTTCTTTCGTGTCATGCATAGCTTCGTACGACACACATCAGATGTGAAAATCGTTTGTATACAACTAAACGTTATCTTCTCAAAGTTATACTTAATACACGTGTGAATATGCAATAAAAAAAAAAAGAGGGAAACGTGTAACGCAGTTAAATCTGCGTTAAGAAAAGCTAACATTTCACTTAAACCACTTAATCAATATAAAAGTTTATTATATTTATAATATTCTTAAGCATGCAATACTGCACGGTATCTCTACTACTCTGAAGTTTCTCATATCGCAAATGCATTGTCTCGACTTAAGCTTTTTCATAAATAGACAGTTGAATCGTAAATCGCAGAGCATTATAGTGTGTTTTATTGTGCATTTACGCTAACTATATAGCGTCTCTTTTCCTTGTCCCTTATTGCGTGTGAGGCTTGCCGCGCGGCGCGTATCCACCGCGGTTGCTTCCCCTTTGTCCTCTGAATTGTCCGCGGCTAACGCGCTCGTTGCGAGCACCTCTCGCTCCGCCGCCGCTGCCACGCTTGAAGCCAGTATTATATCCGTTATTTCCTTCGTTACCCCAGGTACGCTGCTGATATCCGTTTTGATAGTTACTGTCGTTGCGATAATACGCGCCTGGAAACAGAAATTAATGCCACGTCTTTTAGCCTTCGGAATTAAAAGATTTATTCGAAATACCGAAAGAACGTCTCTATTGAAAGTTATAAAAGATAATTTAACGTGTTTGAATTAAAACAATAATTTTCGAAATATCGAAAGAATGTATTTTATTAAAAGTTATATAGAGAGATAATTTAATGTGTTTGAATTAAAACAACAATTTTCTTTTACCTTGTCCTGCGCGTCCATTTTGCTGGTAATTTCCCCTGCCTCTGCTATTATAGCTATTAGAGGTCCCTCTTCTGCCACCCCTTCCTCGGTATCCACCACGTTGGTCAGGTACCCAAGCCTGCTGGGATGTTTGTTGCGACGCTTGCTGGCAATCTTGGACAGACTGCTGTTGATCAGACTGATTCCAATCGTTGGTCTCGCTCATCTGACACCAATCGATCCTCTCGTGTTGTTGTTCCGGATCAGGAATTTCGTTCTGACCATTTTCGATCTTTTCCTGAAAGAATCCGTGTGTCACGATAAAAATCAGCGATGAGATAAATAATTTATTAAATTTATTTCAAACCAAGAATGTTACCTCTGTGGACGCTTGAGCTTCTTGCTGATTGCTCTGCTCAGTGAAGTTTTGCATTTGACCTTGCTGCGGCAGTTGCGCAGCGTTCTGCTGCTGCTGTGGCTGTTGAGGCTGGAAACTGGTCGGATGTTGCGGGCTGTACTGCAGATTTGGCTGCTGATGAGACGGCGGCATCGGGATCGGCGGCGGTGGATTGGGATTCGCGAAACCGGGAATGTGCGATATATCCTGCGGCGGTTGGTGCTGGTATATGACCTGCTGCGGTACGCCCACAGGCGCACCTGCAAAGTTCTGATTCGTGAAGGTTTGCGTGGGAATGGGCGCGTTGACTGCGGGAGGAATGTGCGATACGATGGGTGTTTGCGACGTGACATCTGAATCGAGCTCAGATTCCTGCAGGAAAAAGAAGTTGGGCGTGCCTATAACGTCGTTGATACGGGGAGGCTGTTGCTGGGACTGTTGAGCTTGCTGCTGCTGCTGCGGTGGCTGCTGCTGCTGCTGCTGCTGCGGTTGCGGAACGAAGTTAGTGGCGTTCGTGTAATAAGGGGTGTCGACTGGCGCGGCTGGATGAGGCATGGGTTGCGGAACGACCGATATGGGCCCCGAGACCGGCGCGGCGCCGGAAACGACGGGGAGCGTGGTAACTTGGACTGGAAAATTTGGAATAGGTATCATGGATTCCGGTGGAATGTGCCTGTCGTTGCCGTTGCTGTACTCCTCGTTGACCTGCTCCTGCGCGTTGGTAACTTTGACCTCCGCCACAGTTTCGGTAATCTGCAAACAAATACGAATAAATCGATCAGATCACGTACAATCGGTCAGATTATAAAATCAATATTCCCTGATTTGATACCTCTTCCATCGGCGTCGCCTCCGAGCATTCGTGAACTTGATCAAAATAGCCGCATTGATTGATCTTCGTAATTATCTCCTTCAGTTTATTGTAAGTAGTGCCGATAACCTCACGCTGCTTCCCATCCACAATCGCGACGTAGTGCTCCGCCACTTTTTGTGCTTGTTGAGCGAACGTCAGATCACCCTCCTCGCGCTGATGCTTTATCATCATCTCATTGTACAGGCTGTCTAGGTACTTGAACTCCTCCTCCGACAGTTTTATAGCGCCGTTCTTTCCGTGAAAGAAGTCGTCCCTAATGGATTCGGTGTTCACGCTTACCAAGACATGCTGAGTAAGTAGCACCTCCTTCACCTACAACACGCACACCACACTTCTCTTAAACCCACATCTCGTGCGATGTGTACAAAAATGTGTGTGTAATCATTGTATTGCAAATCATACTTTTGCAATGTCCTGTTGCATACGCTCGACAGCCTCCTTCCGCGCCAATTTCTTCTGCTGCTTAACCGCGTCATTGGCAATGTTGACGATTTGTTTGTACAAGTCCCGGGTAATGTCCAACGTTTGCAGCACCTCGTCATACTTCGCCACCGCTGTCTTTTGGTCGGCATTCAATTCCCTTCCATTTTTCTGCAAATCCCTATACGACTCGAGCTTGCCCTAAATTTAAAAAAAATATATATATATATATATATATATTTGTAGATCCCCTGATTCCTCTCAAAGCAACTGAGAGATCAGTTACCACGTGTACTCACTGTTGCATTATAAAAATCGTGAAATAAACATTTACATTAACATCGTGTTTACATTGAGATAAAGCATGTTTATAAATCAATTAGAAAACATTACGCAAAATACAGCGAAAATTTAGACTAGCGTAGATTGGGATATAATTCATAATCTCGTTTCCAACCTAAAAGATTTACTGTTTGGAAAAGTACTCTACGAGATGGCAACGAGGTCGCGCGACAAGGCAGCGTCGGTCGCCGCGAGAACATTTGCCGCGATCGGACTGGGGAAGACCGGGAGATGCCGAACGCCGATCGCGGGGGACTCCGCAGTTTGGAGCAGCGGGATTCCGCGGCGAGAACACGATCGTCGGTGGACGTCGTCGGGCACGTGCCGGGGTGGGCGTCCCGTCGAGGGGCGCGTCAAAAAGCGCGTGGTGCATGAGGAAAAGTGCTCGTGCACGTAGACCCCACGTACACACCGCCATGATATGGAGGTTGGCGACGACGAGTTGGCGTGTTCGGAGGCCCGGAGATACCGCTTCCCGGCCGGCTTGGCGCGTCGTCGGCGGAACGCGGCACGACGATCCGATCCGGCGCTACGCGAAACGTGAAAACGCGCCTCGGCGTGCGTTGCACGTACCCTTGAAAAATTCCGAGGCGCGAGCACATGGCACGTCGGGGGGGATCATGGCGGATCGCGGCGAGAGAGCCACGGCGGAAACTTGACAGATCGACTTTTGTCTGCAATTACGACCCGGACGGCCGCGACGTCGTGTTTACCTTACGCTTCTCGAGATTCCGTATCTTGTGCTCGATCACGACGATCGCTTGGCGTAAGGGTTCCACGGACTCCGTAGAGGCCTGTTTCTCTAGTTTGGGGTTGGCAGAAGGCATCCTTCACGGGCAACAAACACGAACTGGGAATCGGAATGGTAACCGAGTTGAACCAAGTCTCAAGTGGCGACGGGGGCGAGGGAGGGGGTAAAAATGGGACGACGGAATGGCGGGCCGAACGTTTCCGAATATATTGAGGATTCGCATGCGCGACATAGCTTAAAGGTCCGTCCAGATGAACCTTGCATAGCGAGATATTCTTTCTCTTCGGTTGTCTCTCAGAAAATTGTTGATTTGATGTGGGGAGGTGACACATTTGTGAAACTATGCAATTTCATTAAAAACTAGGTAAAAAAAAAAAATGACTGATGAAAAATTATGACCGACCAAATTCTGATTAATTAATTATATTTAATTTAAGTAATTAATTCAATCAATAGAATTGTTTAACACCAAACCTCTGACTGCAGGATTTGTCGTTTTTAATTTAATTGTTCTTCCTGTATTAAACAGTAAAAAATTGTTAATTTACCTTATATGTTAATAAAATACTAAAGTTGTTATTAATACATAATTAATTGCATATTATATATATGCACACGCGTGTGCGTTATTCTACATATTTACATTTTTATTAATTTGGAATATTTCAGTTTTAATTTTGAAGTCACATTGCAAGTATTATTTACAAAGATTTTCAAATTTTCCGCTTACTATCAGTTTTTCCAGTTACACTTATTTCGAACTTGGTGCAAAGATTACAATAAACTATTGCACTCTTGCGCTACGATAGAGAACAGTTAACGTGTGATGCCAATTTCGCTGTTTGACGGTATATTTTATTATAGATATACTTTAGTTTTATGTAACAACATGAATAACATGATTTATCATGTCGATCTGAAATCTTTTTATTCCCTTTTTATTCCACTTTCATTCATGAAAATTTATGCTAGTCTCGTTTGTCCAATTTGTTCCTTGCTGTTTTAATACAGTTAAATAGAACAAACTTATGTGAGGTGCGTTCTGAAATGCGCTGACAGCTGACAATCTATAGCTTGTATTATCTATGCTGTGATGATTGGATGACACAATTGGATGGGAATACAAACGCATCCTTGGGAGACAATTTTCAGCGCCTTCGTGGTGAATCTGCAAGAGGGACGAACTAAAGTTAATCACGTGACGAGAAGTGGAAAATTGATGCCATATTTAAATCTACACGCACGTATTCGTTTATATAAATATATAATAAATAGTCATAAATTAACACATCTTTCAGGAATCTATGACATCCTATTACATTTCTTAAAAAATATAATAAATAATTTTTCAGTCGCACAGACCTTCTTCATGAAATCAGATAGTAAATCGACGTTTTTGAAATAAATTTCTGAATGAGTTCTATAATATGATCTAAGAATTATTTATAGAGCAATTCTCTACTTTTTTTTTTAATAAGAAGAAGAGTGTTTATGTGAGCGTGTTACATCACATGGCGAGTGCTATGAATTTTAATTCTAACTTTAGACTTCAATTTGCGTCATACTATTTTTATTCTCCTTTTTTTATCTTATCATTATTCATGTGCACGTATATTTCATGTGCTGATAATTAAAGCGCTTAGAGTAGAAAATTTTCCTGCAGGCGGTCAGCGACATTTTGCTAATCTTTGCTTGATTGCAGTTATAGTACCTCGTGGATGTTTAGCTTATAAGCTGCTTTGACAGAAAGCAAGATACATGAGATGGAAATTCCGCAGCTAATAGAATGTTCCAGAGACAGTTTTACGTGTAGCTCCTTCATGTGATTTAGCTTAACATTACATTTTCCTCATCAGACAATACGAAGTCCAAAATTGACACATAAGACGTTCTGCGAAAAATTAAAAGATATAATATCTAAAGCACGTCTTATGCGTCAATTTTAGACTTTGTGTTGTCTGGATTCGGCGCTGCAAACATTTCTGTCGTAATCCTGTATAAATCTTTGATCTTTCAATAATATTTTGATATGAAAACTTTTAAGTAAAGATATCACGAGTGTAACAAAACATATTAAAATACAATAACTTCTGATGTAATGTTTATAATTAAGTCTTATAACGCAAGGTACTTTCTCCGCATCATCGTTTATAGAAAGCGATAGAGAAATGGTAGCGTCGACTAACATCTATGGGAATCTGTATGATGAAATCGTCCGAAGATGTACTCGTGCCTCTCCAAGTAAACATGTACCGCGCGTACGATTCATTCACATTGATCTCTGCCTCCGCCAACGAACCGTCGGCCCGGTCACACTCCGTTTGTGTGATGCTTGGCCGGACGGCACTGTCTCCGACACGTTAGCCTCCTATCAGCGGAGTCTTTGACACTTGACCCTTGACGCTGGCATGGCCTAAGTGTCCGCATCGGCGGGTAAATCGCAAGCATTGCGCTGGATCGGCAGTCCCGCGTCGATCATTGCGCGCGCGCGCTTAATTTTGCTCGGTGCCGAATTCCGCCGTCTGGCAGCCGTCGATCACGTGCATCCGCACTCATATACGCGCGATTGTATCCCCCCGCGTTTATACTCGCGAAACTCATCGCGATACACTAACCCGACGGCGCGTCCAACGTTTCGACGTAGAAGGTGAACTATCGTTTATCACTATCGCCTCTTCTTCTTCATCTTCATTTTTTTCGCGTCTCGCGGCGATACGGACACTTTTTTCTTCGCGACTGTGTGTTTCGTCGAAACGATATGTGCCAGCGTAAACGCGATGATCCCCAGTTAAGAAAACGAATCGAGGCCACGCACGTGGAGAACGCGCTCGCGATATTATACGTCCGCAAGTACCGGCGAGGGTGAGGCAGTGCGGTTGGGGATTATCCGCGCGGGGAGCGAGATAATCGTGACGAAAGTTTTCACGAAGAAGCTACGGTGGACCAGTTAACGGGATTTCGTTAAAGATACGGCTCCAGATTTCTTCTCCAGCGTCGTAATCTGTTGAAAACTGATCGACCCTCTGCATCGGCCATACGAGTCGACTCTGGCAATTCGATCAGAAGATCGTAATTATTAAAAATTGTAAATTGCAGTTTACAATTTTTTGAAAGAGAACGTCAAGAATTAACAAGCATCAAATATACGTTGATATATCGAAGCTGCGAGATTGTACGGAGTAAGGAGTTCATATATCAAATTAATATTATTTCGTAATTTTTCCCTCTCTTTTTTCGTCGAAAGAGATACGCGATTTGTGTATACGTACAATTTTTTGTCGATTTCTTGCTACCTGTATTTTTATCTAACAAAAAGAAATAAGATCTAAGGAATAGCGTTTCTTGTTTATATTGCTAGAAATACAAATAAAAGGAATATTCCTGAGGGAAACCGAGGGAAAAGCTGTGCGACCATAAATCGCGTTGCCTTCACGTCGCAGTTATCTATCATCACTCTTGTTAGGAGTAATCGTCACAGACGTCGTCGACATTGACGTTTTGTCATATCGCAGTTATTCACCGTTCCGAAAACAAATAACAGCGAATTATTCTCACAGAACGTTAGAAATGATTTTTCCTAATTTGGGAAATAATTATAATAATCATGCCTGTTAGCGATTCGCTTTCGATCTCCTATTTTTTTATGTCGAACAAATTCTTAATGCTTACATATTTCTAATTTACAATTCAATATCTTTTGCGCATCGCGCAAAATACCCGGAACATTAATCAGGTTTCATTGCCCAATGAATTACATGATACGTCGATACGTCGATACGCGTGACTTCGTGCGAGGGAGGATTCTTAATTGAACAATATTAACGACTCCATTCAATAGAGCCACATTCTGCGCACGTTTTACGTCGTAGAAAATCCGACATGAATTAAGAAATATCTTCTTCCGTACAGCTGTCAAGTTATTTAATGGCATAATTACTAATATATAATTGTGAGCTGAAGCGGCATAGCCTCTCTGATCGAACGGTGTCTAATCTCGTTGTAAACAAAGCTCCCTAGTTCTAATCTAATCTAAGCGCTCTTAGACGAAAACATCCAACAATCTGTTTTTCGTTTCTCACGAAATAAATTGCGTAAACAATCGCGATTATTCGAACCGAAATCGAGGCAGATCAGCATCGGTTTAGCGCCGTGTATCGACCGCATCCGTGGCATTCGCCCGCCGCGATACCTGTACTGTGAAAATAACGAGAATCCAGATAAGGGATCGCGACAATTATATCGGCATCCGTGGAGGAAAATTATTTCCCCCCTGACATATTGAAATCTCTCATCGAACATTTCGTTATACTATACTTATGACACATTCTGCGTCGTATGTATTAAAAAATTGCTCGATTCCCGTGGAAATGTGTTGAAAATGTCGTGCAACAGTTTTTTTTTCTTGCGTCAATTTCACTTCGATCAGGCCCGCCGCACCCTCGCGTATAGACGATATTACTGCTTGATAACGATTTTTCAACCATTTTCCTACATCCACTCGCGGCATAGTATTAGTGCATTCATTCTACCAAAACAAACGTAATTATATCGCTTAAGCTCCGTAAAAAATCGCGCCCCACGATTAAATGAAGTTTATTACATCGAATTAATTGAAGAAAAACAACTCGTTAATGATATCTTAACGTGCCCCCCCCAATGCACTTTGTGCCTTGGGGCCGAAGTTTAGTTCCGTGTTTCTGCGCATGTTTAGCGTATATGATGCAAGGCGGATTTGGTACTTTGGAACGCGATCCACATTGGTGTTTTAATAATCAAGATTCGCGCAACAGAGTGCGGAATTGTAAGAGATAAGGGTCCGCTTTCTCTAATCTCCCGCCTTACTGTTTTTTTTTGCCTCTCAATGCCATAAAACGCTCTCGTGCGCGGCCAGTTCTCGGAAAGCGTGTATAACAGTTCGGAAGCAGTTACAAAAGGTAGCGGACTAATTCGAGCTTCAGCACCTACGACAGCACGCTCGGACCTGCGCTGAAGCTTCGGTATGTCAGCGGGAAGTAAAACGAATCAGTATTATAACGCACCCCGCACGATGAGGGTTCGTTGTCAATAGCGCGCAGGGGCGAGACGATTGCAAGTGGATCGCGATCGGCGGATGTCACTTCAAAGTATATTACTTTGCATTCGGCACGCTCTGCTCTGCGGCTAGCTGACTTGCGATGTAGAGGATTTACGCGATCGTTTAACCCGGCACGCTCTGCTGCAACGTGAAGGCGATTCCACCCCCGATTTTCTCGCGTAAGACACAAAACGATACAAACGTCTTATAAAGCGTACTTTTTGTCTGAAAATTATTTTGCTATATTTGAAGCATTAAGTGTCTGTTTATATTTAAATATTTTTTTACGAACTAAACGGAATAAATTAATTTTTTAAGCTAAAAAGTTTTCGCAAAATTATCTTACGTTTTCGGATTAAACGTAGAAGATGGAAAAGAACATTAATTTGTTTTAATAATGATTTAAAAAATAAAAAATTAAATAAAAAACGATTAAACGTAGAAGATGGAAAAGAATATTAATTTGTTTTAATAATGATTTAAAAAATAAAAATTTAAAGAGATTTTTTTAAATATTTTCATCGTATCTTTTTTTCTTCGCTTTAGTTATCCGCGTTTTAGATTGAATCGCAGATCGATTCTATGCAATGCAACCCTTCGGAAGTGATGTAACTTGTCTATTATACGTTTAAAGGCCAAATCGCTAAACACAAATAAACAAGATCTGGCAAACATTCGTCATGAAGACGTACATCTGCGCGAATTGTTGTGCATTCCGCCGGAACAGATTCTCTTTAGATGCATTAGCCCGATCCATTATTTCCCAAACTTCCCCGAGCTAAAAGTGTGAGCATGAAATATCTCGAATTTACAGTAGACATTAAGCTCGTTACAATAGACATTACGAGTCTTATCCTCCGACATTCTCTTCATTGTCCTATAAACTTCCGGGTAGGGAGAAAATATTTTGAAATAATTCCGCAATTAGAACAAGGAAATAGACGGAGTTGCGAAAGATATATATATTTATATATATATATATATTTAATGTGATATCGAACTGTTGACGGTTTCAGATGATTGATAATTTGATCTTCAACGATATGGGGAACATGATGCAATTAGGCGAGATCGAGGACGAGGAGAGCCTCAAGTGCAACGACACAGATCGCGCGGAATTGCCAATCGAGTTCCGCTTCAATGACGGCCACTTGGTGACGATAATCACTTACAGCATCCTGATGGTGATATCGGCCATTGGAAATATTTCCGTGCTGACTATAATAAAGAAACGAAAGTCCAAGTCCCGGATACAGAACCTCGTGATGCACTTGTCGATCGCCGACCTCTTTGTAAGTAAAACACGATTGCGGGCGCAAATAACTTACATACGATAAAGTGTAATCGTGCCGCACGCGATTTGCGCGTAAATTTAGTAACTGATATGGGACGTGTCGCATCTTATCATCGTCCAGGTGACGTTCCTGATGATGCCGTTCGAAATCGGATGGGCGAGCACGGTGTCCTGGGAGGCAGGAGACGCGATGTGTCGCATAATGGCTTTCTTCAGGATGTTCGGCCTCTACCTTTCGTCCTTCGTAATAGTCTGCATAAGCATCGACAGGTCGGCACAACGATTAAGCCACATAGACCGCAATCATTCCGCGATCACATTTCGCGATCATTTCGCGACACATTTCCTCCAGTTAACTGGAACATTTAGCTCCGTTCCGTTGAACGTCACACACGTTAACATAAACATTCGTGGTACTTAGGGGTGATCGGGCATTTTAGATAAGACTACGCGTTCACGTGTCCTCATCTTCCAGATATTACGCCGTGATGCGACCCCTCCAAATACTAGATGTTCACAGGAGAGGGAAAATATTGCTGGCGCTCGCGTGGATTGCCTCCGTACTTTGTTCCATGCCGCAGGTGCGCTAACTTTTACAGTATTTTTATATACGCAAACATATATCAGTACGAGATGAACGCGAGTCATTTCGCTTCGTGACTGGCGTTAAACAGCGCGTGTCTCGTTCATCCTCCGTAGATGTTGGTGTTCCATCTCGAGACGCATCCGAATTACCCCTGTTATACCCAATGCATAACGTTCAATATCTTCCCGTCGTACATACACGAAGTTTCGTACAGCTTGTTCGGCATGGTGGCGATGTATTGGTTCCCCCTGATCGTAATATTCTACACTTACACCAGCATCTTCATGGAGATCTGCCGCAGATCCAGGGAGAGGGGCGAAGGTAACGATATCGAATGTAATTTATCGTGCTCTGTAAGAATTATCGCGCGCTTCTTAATTCATTAAAAATTAATAGAGAAGTTTATCTATAAGTACAGATCTAATAATACGTTTAGCGCTTGGTAATGAATGCGATCGTGACATATACTAAGAGGCATTCCTTGCAGACAGAATACGTCGCTCCTCGTGCGGTTTCCTAAGCCGAGCGCGAGTACGCACTTTAAAAATGACGATAACCATTATCGCCGTCTTCACTATCTGCTGGAGTCCTTACTACGTGATGAGCGTTTGGTAAGTCTGCGAGATCTCTCTCTTTTTTTTAATTTCCGCCGTATTTTGCCCGTCGGGGCTAAAAAATCGATCGCGATACTATAGTATAAGTAGTATACACGCGTTCTAAAAGTCAACAATATCGCCGAACAAGATTGTGCAGACGTAAAAATACTGATGATACACACGACTTTGACGCGGCGGGGTTCACGGCCATATAGATACGCGAATTCTGTCTCTTATGAAAAAGAAAAGTAACGTCTCGGATTAAGAGACTCGCCACTTTGATTCTGAATGATCTTTATCGGCGAAACGCGTGCAAACAGGTACTGGATCGATCGATCGTCGGCCGTCAAAGTCGACCCACGCATTCAGAGAGCTCTTTTCTTCTTCGCGTGCACCAACTCCAGCATGAATCCCATCATCTACGGCATCTTTAATATACGGCAAAGAAACAGAGTAAGTATTGAACGGAGTTTCCAATTGTAACGGTGATAAATTCTCAATAAAGCCTTTACAGTTCGAGACATCATTAACTTCGTTACGATAACATTTCATATAAAATCATCGAATTATTTAATCGATAAAGTTGCATGGAAGATTTAGATATTCAATATGCGTGCCTATGTAACGATCTTGCAGCCGACGTTAATAAAATAGTCAGTTTGAGCGTGAAATGGAACTCGAGTCAGGACGAATTCGTGTAATCGTCATATCAATTCGATTATTCACGCTTCACGTGTCGTTAACGCATATACCACGTTTGTCCGTGCGATATCGCAACAGATATTTTAACACCTCGCGAAGGCGAGAATTCGTACCTGCGTGAAAGATTGAAAAAGAAATATATTTCCACAAATCAATCGCTCTCTTGCCTGCTTATAAAAATTAAAAAGTTACACTAACAAGTTAATTTTTTTGTTTTAATTTCTACTAACGCATTTAGCTAATCTAAGCTAACAATTGGCTGTTGCCTGTATTTTCAGGCACAGCTTCAGTCCCATCCCCTTCTGAGGCCCGTCAACACAACTGTGGAACTTCCGATCGTCGCGTACGCCAGAGATTCCATTTTCACCGTTTTCATAATAGCCCTGCCGGTCCTCTTTAACCCACCGATCTCATATAACAGACGTTCATCGCATGATCGTAATGGTAATTTGCTATCTCGAGTACTAATTGATAAGTAAACCCTCCCACGCGTATTGCATCCGCATGTTTCCCCAAGCGCGATTAATATCAGAGCGATTGCACGTTGTTGCTTTTGAAGAGATTGGGGAAAGAGGGAACATCTGAAGACTCAATGTCTGAAGCAGACACGCGAAGGCGTTTTTCAAGAAAAACGTCCGAAACGCCTTTCAAGACGTCGATTTAGACGAGATTTGGGGCTTTCGACACAGAACTCCACAGGTTCCACGAAAATCTCTATTTTCGTTCTAGGCGCCGTTACGTACAGCCACCATCGAGACCCGGGTCACGCCGCTGTCTCTATCCGTCAAACTCCTCGATTGACAATGAATGCGACGTTCGTCGGCTCGAACAGATGAGTCTAAACCAACGACGGACGTTGGTGTTGGCGCGGCGAGTACCTGCGTACTTTTTACGAAAATAAATTTTAGCAGTAGCGCTGTTACGAAGCTGTAACTGATGCGCTTTACGGCATGACGGTCGCATCCACGCGCGGATATTATCCGAAAAAAAAAAACACGAACTCGTGCGGTGCAGAGCTATCGAAAATTCGAAAAGTTCCTCGTTTTACTCTGCCAGATGCATGACGAGACGAAAGCGCCTCGATCGAATCGCGCCTTGCGATGAAGAATCCTCTGACGAAATTGCACGATAAAGACGAAAAAAAAACACGGAGATTTTTCTAAGTGAATTGTGTGTATTCGTTCGTCTCTATAGATATGTATTTATTTCGAAGTTTTAGATAAGAATCTTTAAAAGTGTAAAAAGATTCTCTATATAGGCTAAGTTATTTTATACGTATATTTGTTACGACATAAGCAAACGTTGCAAATGCAACCGCGTATGTGCTTCGTCGGGTATGTGTTCTTTCTTTTTTAATATATATATATATATATATATATACATACACTTTCGCGACGCAAGGTTGTGCAAACAAGTTACGTAAGCTATTTATACACCGCTTATGTTCCCGTATATATTTTTATAAGGAGGAAAAATATATCGAAGAAAATGTGTGTGTTTGCATTTTCGCACGCGCAATCTCCTTTCGTCACTTTAAAATCTTTTAAACGATAAACTCGTGTAATCAACCTATATTGTTTCTATCCATATCTGTTTTCTGTAAATAAAAAAATAAAATAATTGTAATTTATGTGCGTAATTGTTGTAAATTTATATGATGCACGTGTATAATGTTACAGATTGCCGTCCCTGCGTGAATCGTGGGTAACGTAATACGTACGTTACACGTAATAATGTATTTCGGTTCGTAACAGGTAAGGGAGTCAGAGCGTAAGCGTCTTTCCCGGAATCAGACGCATCTCTGCAGCCGTTCGCCAGCTCAGAGCCAGCTGAATTGAGTTAAATCTGCGTGACTCTCCGTGGCCGGGTCTGGTACACATGACGGGGCCAGAGTTACGCACATACATCGCGACTCGGCCCGCATACATCCCGCGTTATCCGTAATGTCGGTCAATTAGGATGGAAAATTGATCGCATGGTACATACGGCGCGGCCGCGCAAAGTCTCGCGGTCAGCATCCGACACGGCTGAAGCGCAGTTAATAACGAGGACGAAATGACGGCAGCGGTCCAAAGCGGCCCCTTTCGTTCCGCGCGTTCGCAACGGCACGTGTATCGCGTGGACGAAAAATGTGGTATGTCACGTGTCGAAGCGCAAAAGCAAAATATATGTCGCTACGTTGAACGTCGATTGAGAAGAAGGCGATTATCTCCCGCCCGTAAATTTGCAGGATCCCCCGGATGTTACAAATCAACCTGATCGCAATTAGAATCGTCGTCGATCGTCGATCGGGTGTTCGACGAAACCTGAAAAGAGTTAATAGAAATACGAAGAAACTTAGTAATTTGCATAAATCGCAAATACCTAAAGTTGTCGTATGTTTAACGTCGGGACACTACTTACGCGCAGGATTACATTGATATATAGATTCGATCGTACATCGTCTCTTAGTTAACGTTCGACTACATCGAACTCGATGATTAAATTTCGGATAAATGATACATGAAATAAAATTTTTTTTGGAGACACCGTGTATATCACCATGAAAACTAAGCTTTCTGCAGCGTGTCTACGGTTTGAAACTGGTGTGGTTGTGTAGGTGGGACCACTTCCCACACACGCGTAACTGGCACACCACAGCGACATTGTTACATACCTGTTGCAAGGTCCGTCGCATCGGAAAGACCTAAACTCCCGTAAGAGGAACTCTCTCCGAGATTGGAGAGACGCGTTTTTACTTATGGAAAAAGAAATCACTGCGTAATTATAAAAGTCGGAGTTATGAGCGCAGAAAATTACTATATAGAATAATAATTAATTCGTATAAGAATTAATTTCCTTGTTGCGACCTGTCTGTACACATTATCGCGATGTGGTGACAGTTTTATAGGTGTATATATATATACAAAATTTAAATAACACGGTATGCTAATGTGCGAATGAGTGTATTGCATATTAATCGATTTCGCCGAGAAGTTCCTCGTGTCACCGTAGAAGGAAGCGTTTAATTTATATTAGCGCCAGCTCTGACGCGCCTTTCCGCTATGACTATTTCATATCGTTGAAAGAACAGCTCGTGGGCGGGTGCACACAATAATACCGGAGTAATGTATTGATGATATCAGGACTAATCATTCGACCAGATCATACGGCAATAATACTGCTTACTCCACTATCCATTTTCAATTGTAGAATTGATTTAATCAAGCGCGTTTACTATTGCAGCAAAATGTAAATTTCACACAAAAGTAACATACATTTAATTAAATAATTCATTTTCATATATGAAATATTTTCCACGGATAAGCATAATTAATTCTTCTCTCCTGCTCTCCCGGTCGTTCTCAATTTAATTATAAATTAATTATACATTCGCGCATAAAGGTTTTATTTGCGAACTTTATTTCTTTATTCTTATCTTTTTATTTCCATCGTTTGTTTGCGAGATTAATTTTATATCCCAAAGAGAACCTGTCACGGTCTTGTCCTATTCTTTTCCTTTAGAGATGCAATCACAGTTTGCAATCCGTTTAATAATAAAGAATAATAAAATAATAATGATCCTGATTTATCTTAATTCATCAGTGTTTTCTCTTGCTGCATATCAGGCGGCACAAAATCTCGTTCGTAAAGCCGTCTTCGTGGGCGACGTATAAAGTCGCGGACGGTCCGCATCCGCGCTCCAGTCGGCGGCCGTGCCTTCTGCATCCGCGCGCGTGCCGTCGTATCCGTCAGAATCCATCGCACCGCGATCCCGCGAGACGAGAGAGTGGTACAGAGGGAATCGCAGGGAATTCGTGTTTCACTTTCCAATTCTCAGGGAATCAACCGGCTACGGACGATACTGAATACTCGCGCGGAGTGTGCGTGTCGAGATCGCGTTCAGGATGCGGCTACCGATTTTGCTGATCCTCGGGCTGCTGGTTGTCTGCGCCGTCGATGGTAGCGTCATATCCGACGAAGGTAAAGGTTTTGATTATTTTAGGAAAGTGACGAATATATTTACGGGAGGGCAATTCCATGTTGAGACGAATTAATGACGAACGTGTTACTCCGATTCCACGTCCTCTTCTCGCGAAAATAAAATATTTCTTCCGCTATTTTCTCCGCGCGTTTCTCTTAGACTGCACTGTCGAAGACCATTCTTGGCGCGACAAGAAACCCGGTAGTAACGTGAGATCGGTGAAACATCTCCACGGCTAGGTGCAACTCTTGTTGCCTGAGTGGTTGACTGAGCGATCAACTTTTGATCGCTCAACTCTTGTTTTATCGCAGAATTCTTTATATTATATTTTTTTAAGCGTATATCAAACAACGCGAATAAACTACAACTTTCTAATTAATAAATTAGTAATTGAGCGGTTTATTCGACGAAGGATTATTTTTACTTATGCTATATTCTTTTCTTTTTATCCTGTCGCCTTACGACAGCTCTGACCGCGAGCCTGCAGGATGCCTGGTACAGCGATGAGTTCATTATCGCGTTATCAAAGTCCAACATCAAAGAAAAGAAGAGGCAATCCGGCGGTTCGATCGAGACCCTGCTGGCCGTGAAATATCAAGGCACGAAAACGAAACTGGTGCTTCTGGTCGATCGACGAACGAAACGCGGTGAGCGAAACGGATTTACCTGAATCGCGGGTCTCCTGCAAATTTTCACATTGCGGTTATTTACAACTCTTAATGCTCGTCGTTCCAGTTATACTCGAGAGCCTCGATGAATCCGGTCGACGTAGCGCCTCGCACGTCAAAGTGGACAGCCTCTCGGTGAACACCCCTATGAAAAGTCTGATTATGCTGGTGCATCAGGCGCAACCTAATACTCGCGTGGACATGTTCGTCGACTGTATTTACGCGGGTTCCATACCGTTAAAGAAAACTTTCCGCGATATATTCGAAACCGAGGACAACCCGTCCGTGGAAGTAGTAAGTGTTTTTGCCTCTTCCGCACAGAATATACTTTTCGCAACGGTCTTAGCTTAGATAAGTCGTGGACATATTTTTTTTTTTATTATTCTTAATTTAAACGCGAAGACATTGTCCGAAGTCGCTTCTTGAACGCTAAATCTATAAAAAGAAATTTCCGCTTGTTTTTTTCGCGTCAATTCAATTTCGCACGATATTATTTATCGCTGCTGCTTTCTTCGCTGCACGATCGTACGGCAGTTTCTTATTTACCTGCTGCTCGTGACGTCCACAAACGTGGGACGACGTCTTTCCAAATATGGTTGACGAGACCTAAGCTAGTTGCTTCTGTTACGTGCACCTGGTTGGCTTACCCAACCCAGACACAATCCCTGACTACTCGGATGAATTGAATTCGTTTCAATGAATTATTCGCGCCCTATTTCTGTCAAGAGCATAATAATGTAATAACATTCCGACTTTATGCAATGCCGTAATTACAATTGTTTTCTATTCTTGACAATTCTCATGTATTTTTATTTTTTTTCATCTCTAAAGTAAAAATTATTCTTTAAATTCGTGTTGATTTTGACAGTATTAAAAATACAATTGTTAATTTTTCTCGACAATATATATATTATATACAATTCTTTTGTATGGATATCAAATGCAATATATTCATATTCTATCTAACTGATTTATTTAATTAAAACATATTTGATTAGTATTAATTTATTAACAAATTTTTAACAAAGACTTCAAAATGTTCTTTTAGTTCAGAGATCGAAAATGCCGGATAAAGGTGTATCAGACGTCAACCATCACCGAGGTGCTGAGAAAGGAGCAATGCCCTGAAAATCTAACGGGTATGAAGCAACCTTCGTTATCCGATACGAAAACACGACCCATCGATTCCGATGAGGACGATCAAAAGAAACCTATGGATCGACCTGACACCGACTCGAGTGACGGAATTGACGAAGGGGCGTCGAGTGTATCGGATAACGGTGTGTCATCTTTCAGTAGCGCGAAACATCCCTGGGATCACAAGAAACCTTCCGATAAGAAGGACAACCACGGCCTTCCGAGCGATCACGCGGGACATCCGGGAGGCAAAGGCAAGCCAAATAAATACGATCCATACGGCTCTGCCAATCCGTTTATTCAAACCGGAAAATCGGACGAAACAGACGATCATAATTATCCAGACGGATCTCGACCTTCGTCAATCACTCCGCAATCTTCAAAATTTCCCAAAAGACCGTATCAAACTGGGCCCACTAAACGACCTGTACTTGGTCCCACTAAACGACCCGTATTTGGACCCACTAAACGACCTAACAATCAACTAACTTCGAAACCCGATTATAGCTTCGATAAACCTGAACGATCGGATGAAACGGACAATCTTGACTATCCGAACGGATCTCCACAATTCACGTCGCAGTCTCCGGCATTTCCCGCTAAACGTCCTAAGAAACCTGGATTCACTAAACCCGCTCAATCAGGTTCTAACAAACAACCTGACGGATGGAGTCCGCATGATTCTGACAAAAATTCTTTGATACCAGACGAGTCTGCTGAGTATAAACCTCGCAATCCCAAGCGACCTGGTCGAAGTCCGTACTCCGGTAACACGCACGATGGGTACCCCTATCCGAATCAGACGGACATGGATTCATCGGATGAATCCGGTAACAGGAAGCCCAGGAGAGGCGACATCGGAATACAGAGTCTGGAAGAGGGTGAGTGAGATAAGGCGGACGTTTAAATAAGTCGTTTAACGCGTTCTCACGGGAGGTGTTTTCCAGAATGTCAGACCGACACTCGGATCGTGAAAGCCTTGAACGAATTAATTAACGCTACCAGAAAGCTCTGGAGGGAACTGGAACTAAATGTGAGTTAGGCATGCTTTATTGCTATTTCTTCACTGTATGTGAATTGGTATTTTTGATTCTCAAATTAATACCTTGATTTCGTATTAAGATAAATACAAAAAGAATCTCAAAACACGTTATATTTCTTTTCAATTATATTTAATTAAATAAAAATACTTTTAATATTTAATATGTGTTTATTTATTATTAAAATATTTCGGCAGAAGGAACAGTTAACGTTATAAAAAAAAATTCAATTATTAAAAAAATATATACATGTGCAACTTGAAGGACTTACGGACTCATCGTTTTTCGTTTTGCAGAGGATGGAAACCCAGCATCTTCGTCATTTGATCGAAAACTGCTCGGCGTGTCGTACCGGTGAGTGACGTTCCGTCGTATTGAAAGGACATGTGCTCGAAAAATAACAGTTCTTTTAACTTAGAAGCTAGCCAAAACCGCATCGTAATGCCAGTTGAATGAGTCTTATTAATCTATCTCACGCGCGTCGTCCTTCACACCCTCTGAACTTAATCTGTACGTGGCAATTGTCAGCGGAGAGACTATACCTATTTATATGCAACGAGTTGTATTAAGCAATCTTACAACGCAATAAATGCCTGTTGTTAGAAAAAATTCAACTTTGTTGTGACTCTTATGTTCTTGCGTTGCGCAATCTATAAGCACATACTTGCATTTAGATATCTCTTTCTCGATATGTGGGCAGTTAACCGGGACCTTAAGCATTTAAAACGCGATATTTGTATCCGCAAAGAATTAAACGTCGTTTATTTCTCCGAGCTAATCGTCCTTGTCGATGACAGATTTACAATTTATTACGAAGATCCTGCTGCGGTATAATCGAGAAAAATTTTACTTGCGCTTTCTCTCTTCTCTTTCTTTTTTTCTTTCTTTAGATAAATGTTTCGATATCAGAAATTAGAATTTGAAATTAGGATGGACAGCTTTGCAAGTGCGTCACTGTTATCCCTATTACACTGTCTCTATTCTAAGGAGGTCAAGAACGCGCAGGATCCGCGACGTCGATCTAAAGTCGATCTCTTTAAGCACACGTATATATACATATGTATACATATATATACCACTTGCACGTGCACGTACGACACGCTGGGCCGTCGCATAATTTTCTGGGCCCGCTCGACGGTGCGCATTGGGCGCGTATTGGGAGGACCGGCTATCGAAAATCCCCCGAAAATTGGCAATTGACTCGTCACTCGAGCCGTGATCCCGGTAATTCCGTAGTGACACCGCCGCCGTCCACGTGCGACCATAACTCCCCGTGCTACCCCGGCGTCGATTGCCGTAACACACCGAGCGGACCCCAGTGCGGCCCCTGTCGACACGGTTACTCCGGAGACGGACGGGTCTGCGCCAAAATCCACGTCATCACCTGCATCCAACGGCCGTGCTTCCAGGGGGTGCGGTGTTACGATGACGACGACGCTGGTTACAGGTAAGAAATCGTCTCACCAAATCTACAGCAATTATATAAATCTATGATAGAGAATAAGACGAAAGTCTGTATAAAATTGACAATTCAAAATGACATCTTAATTAATGATGATATATGTATACATGTATAAGTTTCATGAGAGCCTCTGTACAAATTTGAGTAATTCTGTTTTTTTTTTTTTTCAGATGCGACAGGTGTCCAAGCGGATACGTCGGCGACGGCGAAAGATGTGAGAGGATAAGAAACCCCTGCGACCATCACCCGTGTCACCCGGAAGTCAAATGCTACCCCACTCATAGTCCACCGTATTTCAAGTAAACGTTTCACGAGCATATATTTTCTTCGGATTTTATCTAATTTTTACTGAAATGAATTCTCTCTGTAATAGCATGAAAACTTGTTTTTAAGAAAAACTCGTTTCTCAAAATTACGCAATCAACAACCTTTGATGTAAAAAGGGCATAGCAGGATAAGCATGTGAGTTTCTGCCCCCAGCCGGATCCGGTCGAGATTTTAACTATAATTCACCATTGACTAGAGTCTCTACTCTCACCACTGTCATCAGCAGTCCATTCTATATGTCGATGGGGGGGATCTCACACTGTCACAAGCTCCCCACATCGCGCGCGACCATGACGCGAGCACCGCACACGCACCATCAAGAACTTTAATTTGTTTAACTATGTATTACTCTTTCAATAATTTTGAAAATTTTTTACATGACAGCGTGAGATCCTCCCCATCGACATATAGAATGGACTGCTGATGATAGTGATGATAAGGGTAGAGACTGTAGAAGTCTCATCACTGTCATCAGCAGTCCATTCTATATGTCGATGGGGTGGAGGGGATCTCACGCTGTCACAACTGTCACAAGCTTCCCTCATCACGCGCGATCATAACGCGATCAGAGCACGCGCACCATTGAGAAATTTAATTTGTTTAACTACGTATTACTCTTTCAATCATTTCGAAAATTTTTTACGTTATACTGAAGTACTTAAAGCTTCTTTTATTAACAATAGTAGTGTGTCAATCGCATCTCATTAAAAAAAACTCAAAAAAAATTTAACAATTTTTTAAAACAATTTCCATTTGACACAATTGACTCTTAATTTTTTTTAAACATTATTCCATTGAACCCCATGTATATAATTTTTTTCATCAAAATCGGTCAAGTCGTTATCGAAAAAATTTTTTTTTCGTTTATCCTTTATATCCTCGTAACTCCCATAGAAACCATATTTGAGATATATGTTTTTGGGGCAATAACACATATATACCAATGGTGACTGGAGTTAAAATATAGTTAAAATCTCGACTAGATCCGACTGGGGGTAGAACTCACATGCTTATCCTCCTATGTCCTTTGAGATAAAAAAATATAAAGATTTCTACGCTCAGCTTTTTCTCCAAGTTTATATTCTCTAGTCTCTTATAGTCTATATTTTTTTCCGCATAGAATGGGTCATTCGAATACGCGTATTTTATGGTTCTTGTCAATCTCAATACGTGATCCAGATGCGGTTCATGTCCGTTGGGGTATGTGGGTAACGGCACGGTCTGCCTCGACGCGAACGAATGCGAGCTGGTGCGACCCTGTCATCCCGGAGTGCGGTGCATCAATCTCCATCCTGGATACAGATGCGACCGATGCCCGAGAGGTTACACGGGGCCGATGACGGAAGGCGTCGGTGTCGAGATGGCCAGAACGCGAAAACAGATCTGCCAGGACGTAAACGAGTGCGAGATCAACAACGGCGGATGTGATCCCTATTCGGATTGTATTAACACGGAGGTGAGAATAGATCCATTTAACTGTGCTGGAATCTATCTTTCGTTTCTACGTTTCAAATGTCGCACTCTGCTCTTTCAGGGATCCTACAGATGCGGTTCGTGCAAAAGTGGTTACGTCGGCAATCAAACGACGGGATGTCATCTTCACCATGACGTCTGCCCGGATCTGATAACGGCCTGTGATGTCAATGCCTATTGCATTGCCATGTACGCGAACGAATATACATGCAAGGTGAGCGTCCCCTTTATGTGTCATCCAATGAAAACTGACGAAAGATCGAAATTCATACAGAATACTTGGATCTATGTGATTCAGGAATAATTTCAGCTGCAAATAAAAGCTGCAAAATATCGGATAAAAAAAAGTATACGTATGATATTGCTATATAAAGATATTTCTCGAGAATAATTTCTCCATAGAACGTTTATAGATTAGTTATGATTTATAAATATTCCACGGGGAAAATCATACAGATTGTATGCACATGCAATAATAAAATCGCAAGTAGCTTTTAAAGAAGGATACTGCTTCGCATGCCAAACGCTTGTAAACGTGTAGGCGATCTCTTCTGCATACATTCGTAGATATCTCATATCTATGAGAGTTTTAACGCTGATTCCAAACGACTTACAATTAGAAGAGATTGACAGAGTTACTTCTCGATGGTTTGCCGTTGTCTTCTCAGAGGTAGCGATCACTTTCAAATCGACTTATATTGTTCTGGATGGGTTTGAACATGAGTTTTTGGCACAGAAAGTCGACGCGCTGCTTTTCGCCTTCACGATCGCCACACGGAAACTTATCACGAAGAATATTAAATATAAGCTTAGTGGAATAAATATAGATGTTAGAAAATTAATGAAAAATAACTGATCTTATCTTTGTAAATTTTTTAAAATTTTTGTAATTATAATAACTTGTGATTAATTTCTAATTTCGTGGTTTTTAATTATATCGAGTTATCTAATTTTACTGATTGAAGCGCGACCGATTCAATCGAAATCTTTTGCAGTGTCGCGTGGGTTGGGCCGGAAACGGGAACGTCTGCGGTCCCGACACCGACAGTGACGGCATCCCCGACAGAAGCCTTCGCTGTCACGACCGTCATTGCTACGCTGACAATTGTCCGACGGTGCCGAACAGCGGCCAGGAGGACGCCGACGAGGACGGTACCGGCGACGCTTGTGACGACGACGCCGACAACGACGGCATATTGAATCTGACCGACAATTGTATGCTCATTTATAATCCGGATCAGCTGGACAGCGACGGCGACAAGATCGGCGATGCCTGCGACAATTGCCCGACGAATTGGAATCCGAATCAGGAGGACTATGACGACGACGGCGCGGGCGACGCGTGCGATGACGATTTGGACGATGATGGTAAATCTTTGTTTGCATTTAAAACGCAGATTCGGATTAAATACAAGCAAAAAGAAATAATAAGAAATGCCAGATAAAAAGCCACGTCCCATATATTTCTTCGTTATTTTACGAGTAGAGAATGGCTACTAATTGAAGCTATCGACGATTGCAAATCTACTTCATAATTTCGCTGATAAAGGAATATCATTCAGGTATACACAACAATCAGGACAACTGTATCAAGGTGAAGAATCCGAATCAGCGCGACACCGACGCGGACGGCATCGGCGACGCCTGTGACAATTGTCCTGGCATTGGCAATTTTGACCAAAGGGATATCGACGGCGACGGCGTCGGGGACGTTTGCGACACCAACGCGGATCGCGACAGGGACGGTGTCCAGGATGACAAGGACAATTGTCCGGACGTGGCGAATCCCGGGCAGAACGACGTCGACCACGACGGCATCGGCGACGAGTGCGACGACGACATCGACGGAGATCGTGTACCCAACGGGATCGATAATTGCCCTTACGTCTACAATCCGGATCAGCGTGACCTTAATCGTAAGTTTTCAACGTACTCTTTTCTGAGAGCGTTTAGACTGTAATCTGATATTTTCTACGTTATAAGAAGAAATAAAATTTTTATATTAGAACATGAAGTCACATTGAAAATTTCTTGATTTTAAACAAGATATCGTAATATCCTTCTATGAAAGATTATTATTAATATTATTCATTGCGGAAAAGGAAGTTATTCGGACAGCGTATAGAGTAATATTTTCGTATTTTGCTTGCACATAGACGACAGAATTGGCGATGCATGCTGGAACGATAATGACAACGACACGGTTATCAATACTTACGATAACTGTCCCAATAACAGTTTAATATGGGCAACAGATTTTCGTAAATACTTTACGGTCGCTCTCGATCCACACGGTACCTCGCAGCAGGATCCCCAATGGAAAATTCACCATCAAGGTGCTGAGATTCAACAGCTTCTTAACAGCGACCCCGGAATCGCGATAGGTGAGTCTGTATCTGTCACAAAAAAACATGAAAATGACACTTATATATACGTCATAAAAATTTCAAATCGCCCTCTAATAATGTGCTCGAATTCAACGGATATATAAAAAACTAAGCTCGTAATTGATTATTAATTAATTTCTTATTCATCGTTTTCCTCATTTACAAAGGCCCGGATGAGCTGAGTAACGTTGACTTCGAGGGAACCTTCTACATCGATAACCACGACGACGACGACGATTTCGTGGGCTTTGTGTTTTCCTATCAGGATAATCGACATTTTTACGTTGTTTACTGGAAGAAGGGCGAGCAGGTCTACTGGGAACCAGCCCCGTTCCGCGCCGAAGCGGATCCCGGGATTATATTGAAGCTCGTTCAGTCCGAAACCGGACCGGGCGAGATGCTGCGAAACAGTCTCTGGCACAAGGAAGACACGCCCAATCAGGTGAGGGTCCTGTGGAAGGACCCGAGGAAGCTCGGCTGGCAGCCAAGGGTGTCGTACAGGTGGCATCTGTTGCACAGACCTAAGATCGGCCTGATCAGATTCTGGCTGTATCAGGGTACGCAGCTGGTAACCGATTCCGGGAACGTGTTCGACTCGACCCTGCAGGGTGGTAAACTAGGTGTCTATTGCTTCTCGCAGGAGATGATCACCTGGTCGGATTTAATGTACAAGTGCACAGGTAATGCGAGCAATCCCGATAGCAATTTTTACAAAGCGCAAACCTAACGTATCATCATCAGAGACTTAAATTACAATCAAAAATGTAATAGAAATATATGCAATAGAAATGTAACATTTAATTTAACGGAATAATATACTATAATTTAACAGAATATAATTAAATAATAATATAATAATATAAATAATATAAATAATAATATATTTTAACGGAACAATATAATAGGAAAATCCGCATGACATTTTAAGGTCAAAATTATAATTGTGACGTTTACAGCTAAGAAGTTAACGTTATTTTTTAGATACCGTGCCTCAGACCGTGTGGGATCAGTTACCTGATAATCTGAAGAGAGAAATTCAAGCGGAGATTACTGACAAGTATCAACAACAAATAACACAACGCAGAATGAATTACGACTTCTAAAACAGGCTCTCGATGATTTTGTCGTAACAACGAATAAATGACGAGTGCGACGATCGAATCTAAATCTCTGTAATTTTAATTTTCAAATAATCGTGGAACCACAAGCGAATTATAATTAAACAATAAAACGTCAAAATAGCGCATCTTTGACGCGTTTAAATAAACTCAATTTGCGTAAATTCAAAATTTTATGATAAATTTTGTATATTATATATAGTATATATCTATAGATATCTTGTAACAAAGATATTTAATATTCCACAAAATGACGAATATATGTAATTCTCCTATTTAATATTTCTCCAGTTAAACAATTTTTATTGCATTTAGAAAAATTAAATTATTTCAGTTTCAACATCACTGTAGAATTAAACGTACTTACCTTGTGCAAACGTAAAGAATAATACAGAGTCACAATGTAAATCGATTAATATGTATGTACGTTAACTGTAGTATATGGAACCATAATGATTTTAATGATCTTGCATTTATTTGTATGTCTCTAAGGTGCAACTTGCATAAAAGTTATTTTCGTATTTAATAGAGCAAAATAAAGTAATAATCGTCATTACGTAAATTGCACCGTTATTCGTTTAATCGCTTCACTCGTCCATTGCGTAATATCACAAACCATAAGCTTACCGAGAACATTAATATTATTCGTTTTCCATCTCTGGAAGGATAATTAGTTAATGAAGTGATATTTAGGATGGGAATTGTCGAGAAGCGGCAGGCAATATACGCAGATAATGTTTTTTTTTTCGATTAAACAGTTTATTCGTACGAAAATGTCAAAGAAAGATACGATTATTAATAATTTAACGCTGAATCATCCGATCATTCTCGTAACACGTCTAACAGAGTATGTTTTAATAGATTCTTTTTTTTCACCGATAAAACGGCAACGGCTAGAAATTACATGCGAGGAAATGATTTAAGGATAGAACTTAAAGAGAAACCTTTTTTCTCTTGAGCTTTCCGCGCGAAAGCCAAGTAAGTATACCGGCGCGAGATAGCGAATCTCGCGGAGACGTGAGAGACAACGGAACGGCGTAACGGAACGGACGCTGTGAGGTATTATTAAATTCGAATTCCTTTTATTCGCTTCGCTCACAGACGTTGCGTGACGCTGAGGAATTAACTCGAGTAATTAATTCGTGGCTCCCTAAGTTAATGATCCTTATTGAAATTGACGTAAACAGTCTTCTTACAATGCTTGTTCCCTTGCGGCATTTTACAGTAATCGAGACGAGATTTGTTTTTTTTCTTTTCGCGAAACCCGTCGATCGCCATCGCCGCGACTCCCGTGACGAGACGGCCGAATCCTGCTATTCTTCGAGGGATGCACCCTTTTTCTTTTTCTCTCTCTCTCTCTCTCTCTCTTGCCGGCGCTCTAAACTCGAGATATCGACTAATCCCCCTAAACGCGTGTTCACGCTAGTACGAGTTGGATCGTGCGACATACATGTGTAGTATTATCGTAATATATATAAATACGAGAAGATTCTAGCTAGAGAATAAATTATTAAAATCTATCTAATTAATCGAAGGAGAAACGGGAGAGGGAGACGAGATCCTTAACGGTCTATACCTATCTATTTACACTAGGGAACGAAATGCACGCGCGCGAGTCCGCGTCGTCCGCGGCTCCCGGAAAGCTTCCCGTCTGAACGCGTAAAAACGCGGGAGGGGGGTCGTTTGCCGACCTCGCGACGGAGTGCGCGACGGACGCTATACGAAGCCTCGCTTCCCCTTCATTTTGCTAGAGTAAAAGTCGCGCTTGGTGACGCGACGCGTTGTGGCAGTGGTCGCTCAGAACTCGCTGATTAAGGCAGTTGGGCACGCCTCGAGCGGAAAGGGGTAAGTGTCGGTAGTGTGTCCTCCCTCCCCCCCCCCCCTCCCTGACGGAAAAGGACACTTCACGCAAGAGGAATCGATTGGCGGCTGCGATCCAGCAACTGACACACGATTGGGAACAGTCTTCGTTTCGCGTCGGAGATCGCGCGAGGAATGGATCGTCGCGATATCATTGTCGTCACCAACGTGATCTTCGCTGGTTGTCCGCTGGTTATCCGCCAGGACTCTCTTGTGATCAGCATCGTCTATCGGATGACGATTTGGTGAAGAGTCCGACGATTTTTCTTGTCTTGCACGAGAAGCCAGATTGCAGGCAGGAACAGGCTCTCATTACGCGAAGCTACTCGCCAGAAATAACTTTATTCTATTTCTTTTTCACTGACGTCGCAGCTTTCACTCCCCGTTAGCAGAGAGAATCTTCTCGTGACGCGGATCGAAACGGACTTTCAACTTTCAACATCGGCGCGAATTGATAAGTTCGACTTATAACTCGAGACTAAAAGTCGAACGGCAATATTTGTAATCTTCGTTAGTGTACATACACGTGTACGAAAGAGACACTGGGAACTGAATGAGAGGAGGAAGATGCATTACGCTTCTGACGTTTTAAAACGTACAGCGTAAAAACGAGCGAAAATAAGTAACCTTTTCCCAGAGCTATAGGAAACGGATGGAGGAAGGACTCGCTGAAGTTATTGTTAAAGTTGACGCTCGACAAAACTGGCCTTTGGAGTCGCGCGAAAGTTAAGACTGTTAGCGATCAGTTTTCGATCGGAAACGTCGGAGGCGGGCGCGATACATGCGCGTCTATGCAAATGCTCCCTTCGGCGTCCCCAGGTAGACGACTCACTCGCGCGAACGACTCGCGTTCCCCGACTCTGACGCTCGCGGCGACTCTCTCCGATCGTTACACGTGCCGTCTCGCGTGTGTCTCGAATGGAATTCTATGCAAATATACCCGAGAGACGGTTCTGTCGCTCGCCGATATTTATTCAAACGAATGCGCGTCTTTCCTGGAAACGTGATGTCTGAGTTCGCGATGCTGGAATGTTCCTCCGCGAGTCTCCCGTCTCGATCGCGGCAGGAACGCTTTTGAAGCAATGTTCGTCGCGGGCACATCGAGGTATCCCAACTAGCGCGAGTTTTGCGGAAGAAAAACCTTGACCTGACGTCTCGCGTAAATAATATCAGTTGAAAAATGGAAGAGACGTTTAATGGAACGTGGCGCGGTTATATTGATAGTCGTCGATCCATCGCGCGTACTTATCGCCGTCTGAAAAGAATAATCCATCGATCAATTAAACCGGAAGTAGCGAGATAAAAACACGGTAAAAGGTCTTCACTCTCATCCTGCACGGTGTAGAAGACTTCGTTTCCGTCCCTCTGGAAAGTTTGCCTCGCTGGCAAAGATCCCAGTAGCTTTCAGCGATCGTTATGCCGTTCGAGAACGTCGCGTACTAGGAAAATCGAAGCAATACGAACGAATTTATCGCGCCCAGAGTGCTCGATATTCAATCGAATTGATTTACACCGAGAATACGAAACGTCACCTCGTGACGTGTCTCTGGAATCTTCTTCTGGGAACGACCAAGCACCTCAGCGTTGCTTCTTCGTTTTCACGTCACGGCGATCGCTACCGCCGATGGGCGAGGTGCCGGACGTGACCTCGGGTCACCAGGCCTCCGTGTATCGAACGTCGAATTCCTGCAGGGCCGGCAGCCGCTTCTTTAACGACTCGAACGTCTGAGCCGACAGCTTCGTGCTATTCAGATTCAATTTCCTTAGGCTGGTTAATGCTGCAACAAAGCGATAAGACTTTCTTCGAACGACAGACCGAAATCTAAGTCTCAACGTCGAATAAACGAAAACTTGAAAATAAAAATTAGTTGGAATTTAATCTTCAAATGATACACTTCTTTCGAGCACCCACTAATGGAACACTGGTGCCGCGACTGATATCTTTGTGCAAATGTCAACCATTCGAAAATGTTTGCGGTGCGAATTCGCACTCTTGTGCCATTTGAAGGTTAATATTAAAATATATTTTTAATTTTTATCTCGCATGCAATATTCGCACTCTAATATTTTCTATATATTTTTTACACGCTTCTTAAGGTATACATTGATATACATTAAAATAATTAAACAGTTTTCATTCCATATAAAATATTTTTTTAAGATTAATTTTATCAAATTCAAATGTATATAAAAAAAGTTAAATCATCAAATCACATTGAAACTTCAACTTCAATTTGAGTAGTCAGAAATACTCACAGGCCAATGTGGAGATGCCTTTGTCGGACACGGGCGTCTCGCAGAGGTTCAGCACCTGCAGCTTCTGCAGATGCTCGCTGATCATCTGTAGGCCGGCGTCGCCGAACTGCGTAGCCCACAGGTTCAGGTATCTCAGCGCCGGCAACTTTATCAATTGTTCCGCGCACGCGGACGTCACGGAGGTGAAGGCCAGGCTGAGGCATTCGAGATTACCGAGGGCACGACCGCCGAGCAGGAGGGCGACGTCGGCGTCAGTCGCGCGTACCGGTAGCGTCAGTTTCCGGGGTCCGCCCTTTTGTTGCTGGCGAGATCGAGGTCGAATATATATGTACATACGTTATACAGAATCGCTTTTTAGAATCCGACAGATTTTATCAGCGATTTGTCATGGACATTATAGAAAAAAAAAAGTACAAAGCGCGAAGGGACGGCCGGATTCTTCATGCCGGAAATACGACTCGTTTATTCGCTTACCAGCTCCTGCAGATTCTTCTGCCTCTGGCAGAGAGCGGCGTAGCGCTCCTTCCCGGATTCCGTGGACTCGAGCGCGTTGACGATCTGAAGCCTCGCCTCCTCGTTCGGCAGTAAACGCCACTCGAGCATCAGGCAGAGCGCCTCCTGCGCGGCGTCGCAGCCCCGCACCGCCAGCAGAATGCAATCGTCGCCCGCCTGCTTCAGCAGGGACGCGATGAACCTCTTCCGCCGACAGCAGCACGCCAGCAGAGTCGTGAGCTGTCGAGAACGCGCTGTTTATAACGTATATCTCGCGCGAGTCTTTCTCTCGTGTCTCTAATGCGTATTCTATAAACGAAACACGACGGAGAAACAGTCCAAACGCTTGGCTTGAATTTTCACTCGAAATGTAGGCAACGTATCGCGAATTCTCCATCCGCTCGTTAAAATTCCCCGATGACGGAATCGACGGTGGAATTATACGATCTCCTAATGTAATCGAGAATGGAATTTATTCGGCTGCAAGGATCGTCGGACATCCTCCTGTTCCTCGCGATCAAATCGACAGACTTCATTAATTCCGGCGCGGATTGTGGCGATTCGATTCCGCGGTTATTTCCGAGAGGATTGGAATTGATGCTGTCAATACGGGTCCACATTGAAGACGCCCGTACGTACATATCAAGAGAGCGATTCATGAATATTTAGGTGGACCTCCAATCGAATATAATAATCGTCGCTGCTGCCTCGGGACCCTCCTTCGCAGGGGAAGGGGAGGGGAGGGGGGAGGGAGAGGACGATTTGTTTCTGAACAAAACGGATCTTATACTCCGCGGCGTGTGTTATCGCACCGGAGGCCGGAGAGGCGCAATTCGAAACGCTTGGCTCGCGAGATTACGCTACTGAATACACCATAATCGTTTCACGTGCGGATAAATTCGATGCCGTTGCGCCGATAAGCGCGATAATTGCAGCGTATCCGCACGTATTCTCTCTATTTCGCCGTTAGATATTTATATCTCTCGCCACGTGCGACCCGAATATAAACGCGGGAAAGAACGAGATTAAAGAAAGATATATATGTATATATTATGAAGACTGAGTCTTTGCCTCTCGAATTTGGTCTTCGCGGGGAATCTAATTAAAGATTCAACATCAAGGAAACTTTCCGCACGCGCGAAACGCTCCTTCAAATTTCATCATCTTTTGTAATTAAAATTCTCAGAAGCCAAAAAAAAACGCGTTTTAATAATAATAGCCTAAAATCTAGTGGAAACTCCACACTAAAATCTGTCTACGAAATGTAATTATACGAAGGGAAAAATGTGACACAGTCTTCGTGAAAGAGAGAAACGGAATCTGAATAGAATCTCACCATCTCGCCGAACAGTTCTCCGCGATCTGGACAGGCCGGGCTGGACGGCGCGGCGATGTGGATCCAACCTGGACGCGGTTCTCTGACGGGCAGCAGGACGCGATGCACCGTGCACCTCGGGTCTTTCGCCAGTCGTTGCATCACGCACATCAGCACGGACTCCTGCACCTCTCTCACGGCCAGAGCCTCTTCCGGGAACGGGACCGGCTGTAGCAGTGCCCCGAGACCCGGACGCCAGTCGGTGTACTCCGATCTGCAATGTCGTTTTTCCCCGATAAAGTGAGACGCGTTTAGAAGGACCGAAGGGGGATTTCGAATGCCAGAACGGAGGGGCTGCGAGCGGCGCCCGCGTCGGGCTCGTTTGCCTATAGTGAGCGCGAAACACTTACGCGATATTCAGGACGAGCAGATAACACTGCAACGGCGGCAACGGCGGCGATTTGTCCTCGTTCGATGACGCGCGACTCGACACCTCGAATCTGCGAAAATTGGAATCAACATATCGTTGAGAATCTCGTCGTCAAACTACGCGAATATCCTGCAGTTCCAAAGTGTAACTCGGGCGAAACTTGCCTGTGGAATATGGCCGCGACGCAGATGGACACGAGATTGGGAAGTATGCGAGGGTGCGGACAATCGCTACCCGGCCCGTGCACCGACGAGATGTAGTCCCTGATCGCCTGCTCGCCGTCGTTGTTCTCGTACAAAGCGGCAATGAACACCTACGCGCAACGTAAATGTAACCGTCATTATAACTATGCACATTCGCGCTTCCTTATCGTAAGTCGTCATCAGTCGCTCAACTAACTATAGAATCGACAGTAAAGGCACGTTTTTCGTTTTACACGTAATTCCCATGCCCGTAAAACGAAGAGGAAACGAACGATCATCTTTCTCTCCCTTGATCTCGCCACACCCGCTATGCTGTAACCAAACAAAGCAACGCAAGACTGCTGTCAGACTGCTCACCTGCAGCAGCTTCCTCATGTCCGGCGACTTGCCAAAGTCAACGGTGTGCTTCAGGCATCTCGTGATCGCCGGGCTGAGCATCGGGACCAGCTGCGATCGCGGATGCTGCTGCGCCAGTTTGACGAGCGCCCGCGCCAGCGCCGCCGGCGGCGCCGCTTTTTCCAGAAGCGGTGCCACCACGGCCAGCACGGCCTCCGCCCAGCTCCTGCGGTCGCGCACGACCTCCTCGGCTTTCCCGTCCGAGTCGGCCTCCTGCACGCTGCTGGTCTCGTCCAGCAATTTGGCGACCGCCTCCAGCGGCGCGCCCGCCACCCTCTCGTCCTGGAGCGGCGTCCACAGGGCGAAGTCCACCATGGTGCGCAATTCACGCAGTATCACCTCTTCCCGAGTGCTCGTCGACACGAGGTGCTGATACTTGAAGATGCTTTTCTGCGGGCAGACAAAATCGGCTCCGGATGATTCGCGAATTCCGAGTCCGAGTCACTTAATCGGCGCGAGAGAGTTCTATCGCTAAAAAATTCGAAAATAAAAAGATCCCAAGACGCAGAGATGGCAACTGCTGCATGCACAATCAAGAAATGATACGCGCACAAAAATGTGTAAATAATAAATATAGTGAAGTAAAGAAAATCTGTGAAAATCTGAACCTGACATTCTCGTTACAATGAATTTAACGTTGAAAAGCAAAAAAAGAAAAAATTGTTTGCTGCTAATTAATCAAAAAAATTCTCCTTGCTGAAAAAAAAATTGAAATTAAATGTCAAAATGCCATTGTCCGACGCATCGCCCGTATCTGGAAATTGAACCGAAACGAATCCACCCCTCGGCGAACAGGGTCAATCTCGGCAGAAGTCATCGACATCCAAGCCGTCAATGTACGGACTGTGATGTTTTCATCAGAAATATAACGCCGTAAACAATAAAATTCAATTAATCGTTATGGTCGGCCGGATCGCTGTAATTTACTCGCGTCGCACGAGTCGCAGAGGCCGCGCGCTGCTGATTAATTTCCCGACCGGATATTAAACCGCTCGCAGCAACCTCCATAAAACACTGACGTATCCGGGAGATTTGATCCGGCCGAGGACGATCGAGAACGTTCGCCTCTCGCGCGCCGCGTTATCACTTCCTCCTCCTGCTTCCAGCCTCGCATTGTCGGGGCGTTAATAACGCCTGTGTTTGCACTGCGCCGTTCTCCGCCGACCCACGTCAGAGACATCGGAAGGCCGATATTAAAAAATATATATTTGGTATCGACATTATTCGCATTCGCGTGAACAATCGTCGATCGTTCCTCCGCTCGGAAAACGCCGGTCGAAAGGTGAATCAAAATCCATGCCCCTATTATTAGCTTAAAAAGTTTCAACTTACAAATGGATCAAAATGCTCCATCATTTTTTTATCGCTATTGACACGGTAAACAAGCAACGGCAAATATTGTAACGTGACCAAGTAAAAACACGAATGTTTTTAATTAAATCCAATCGACGAGATGCATTTTACATCTGTATAAACGTGAATTTTATTTTTCAAAATAAATTTGAAATTCCACTTAAAAACAATCTGATAAAACCAATTAATTGAAATGGATATAAACAATAATGGATTTTCCTTAAACGATAAATGATAATTTTTCTTATCGAATGATAATCCTTAACGTACCTTCCATAATATTGAGTGGTACCACTGGTCCCTCGTATAAGCGTTGCTGGCTTGCAGAAGGAGCGAACCGTCCGGCAGGACGATGCTGAGGCAGTTCTTGTACGCGGGATCCCACCTGGCGACGACGTACTTCCGGACCTCCGACATGCTGCTGTACGGAACGGCTTGCTGAAGAAAACCCGTGAGCTAAAAGAGAGAGACGGAGGAACGAAATTTAAAATTCATGGAAGAAGGGAAATCAATGGCTTTCCTGAAAAGCCTTCATAATAATCAAATAATTATATCGCTAACGAGCATAATTGGATTAAAGGTGTTACAAGCCATTTCAAGCTCGTTACCATTGAAAAAAAAAATGTATTATGCAAAGTGCTGATACGCGCGTAACGTGAAATCATAATACGTGGAAACAATTCAATTTCCATATATCGGAACGTTTATGTAGAGGTACGAGTATATGTAGAGAAATAGTTATTAAAACGTCGATATATTATTAATAAGCCAACAAAAACGCAATAAAATTAATTACGTATGATAATCGGTTCATAGTCAGCGGTTTTGCATATACAATATACATATAATCCGTTTATATGTAAGCCGCTGAATAAAAATAATCTATCATTAATTTTACTGAATCGGAATTATCATATTACATTTATTATCCTGAGAGTAACGTTATTTTTAAAATTGGCGAAAAATAAATACCGTGCGGTAATTGTATTCTGCAAAAGGGAGGGAAAAGAGGAGAGAGAAATTGCAATGAGATTATAATCCAGCGACTTGTCACTTGAACTCGAGATGATCTTTTCGTTTTCATCCGTGGAAAACACAATCGAAAGAAATCTATTATTTGCACATCGATCATCAATCATTTCCCGATTTATGTTAGACGTAATCACGGATTATTGGTCGTTTGACGTATGAACTCGACATATGGACGTCATCCACCGATTATATAAGTTTATATACATTATGCAGATAATAAGAACGCTCACACGTAATACCTGTATTATTCCGTGAAAGTCATTATACCGATATCGAGAATCAAACGGAAAATTGCCTCTATAAATTTATTTTGCGGCGATCTTAAAATTAATACATTACACAAGCCGCAAACCGCACATGATTTATTCATTCGTTTCTTTCTATTAAATTTCAATAATAATAATTTCAAATAAATCGCCTTATGTATACAGCATATGTGTATAATAATGAGAATCAAACTCATGACAATCAAAATTCGACTGTTTTTTTTTTTACTATTCGGCTTTAAAAACGCAATTATAAAGCTGAAATATAATTACAAATTAAATTGATCATCAATTCGACGATAAAGCTACAAGCGGCCGAATCTTGACAGTTCTCATTATTATTTATTGTAAATTTCGATATATAATTATTTTATGAAAAAAAGGAACAGTTTCGTTCTAAATAGTCAAAGGTATTGAAAGGTGTATTGAAATCGATAGTTCATTATTATTTTAATTTACAAAGATCGCGATTTCATTTTCGTTTAGCCAATAATTTTTGTATAGCAGCTTAACTTTGAGGTAGTTTTCCAGACTTTCGGGTGCGCTCAGACCGGTCTTTAGGAATGACGCAATCATACTTGTCGTAACGAGGCGCATGAATGTATAAAGCGGTACCAGCGAATCTGGCCGTGGCAACAAAAAAGTCGACTTGGCAAAGACGTGGGAAAGAGAGGTAGAGAGGCGAAGAGAGCTAGGGGAAAGAGAGGGTGGGAGAGAGAGAGAGAGAGAGAGAGAGAGAGAGAGAGAGAGAGAGAGAAAGAGAAGAACTGGTGAAAAAGGGACGGTGAATCGAGGGAGAAGTTGCATAATGCAACCTGACGGGGACAATGCGCCCTGGTTCGCGCATCACTTCGGCAGTGTCTCGAGTTCTGAGACTGCAACGAGGGATGACGTGGTACCTTGTGGCACATGTGCGTGTGTATCCGCACGCGTGTCCGTGTGAATACGCGTTCGCGTGTCCGCGTGTAAACGTAATATCGGCGACCAACATACACACACACACACACATACAGAGGCGCGAACACCTGCGTGTGGAATAGTGAATGACGTCAGCGCGAGGTGCCGCGAATCTAGGCCGAGGGTTGAACGACTGTTGGAGCAGACTCGGCCGAATCTGGGGCACTGCATCCCCCTCGTCGCTAAACGCGGCCGAAAGCGACGCTATGTGCGAGCGAACCGGTGTCGATCCGCGCCGGAATTCGCACAATATTCTTGCGGAAACGCGCGGCCGATCTCCAATTTCTCGCCTGATCGAGGGTGTGCGTGTTATTTTGTGCGTTTCAACCCTTTGAAATCCGACTCGATTGGAAAAAGGTATCGAGAAGGATCGTGGGCAGAGAGAGAGAGAGAGAAGGAGGGGAGAGCGCGAGCGAGGAAGTGGAAGAGAAGCGAAATAAATTATTGGGAAGCTGCGCGAGATGCGGCCCTCTGCCGCGCACTGATAAATACAGATAAATCCTCCCTAAAACACACACACACACACACACACAGAGAGAGAGAAAAAGAATTACGCTGCCGGCAAGGGACTCCTCGTTTTATGCATTTATGTGGATTAGAGAATGATTTACTTTGTTTGCCCGACGTCGAGCCAGGTCCGCAGACCGGACGTTATACATATATGTAGTTTGTGCGTATTATTAAATAGACGAATGATTAAATGACGAAATAAAATTCGCTTACGTGCGACAAATGAGCTGTATTTCATGAATAAAGACCCGTCCATTTCGCCCGACCTGGCGCGTTTATTAGAACTTTTATGCATATGCATAAGCGATCAAATAAGTTCCGCTGTTTACGGCGAAGGATTGTGGCATTTATGCGCGATGCGCTCGAAAAAAAAAAGAGGGGAAAAAGCGGTCAGCGCTGCGCTGCGGGCGTTTGCCGCTACAAAGGGCGCGTGACGCGAATAATATATATGTAACTTTATTTTTCTCCGTATATATTTCCTCCGATTCCAAGGTCATCTTTTGTAAACGGCTGGTTCACGCTCTTTTTATGCATCTATGCTACGCGGATACTGCCATGCATATGCATTCCCCATGCATATTCATGCGCGACGTAAACGATAACGAAACGACTGCGCCCATTACTTAACTCGGAGAAATAGCTGAATTTCGGTGTATCCGTAATAATAACTTTGATGCACAGGTGCGGCCATTATTCCCCGTAGCTCTCGCAAGTCTCTCGCGCGGCTGCCGCCGCATCCACCAAATCACCACACGTTTCGCGCGATGAGTATATATAACGAAAAACCTCGTGCGCACGCGAGTATACGAGTATTCTCGTAATTAAAAACGATGGATAGCATTATCTCTCTCTCTCTCTCTCTCTCTCTCTCGCGACCCGTACACGTGACGCTATCGAGGATGTCGAACGTCAACGCGTAAAATGATGAACAAGTGTGAACGATACGCTCGCGGCCTGCCTGCACACACAGTTCCTCCATTTTTCGCGGAACTGCCAGTTCGCAAATGGATTGTACATAGAACTTTAAATGTAATTCCGAAAATCCGATTCCGCTGGTAACCGGAACGTAAATCCCTCACCGTTCCGTCATCAGACACTACCGCGAGCATTACACGTTCGTTTCTATTTTGTATCATTTCGCCCGTGCGGACTTTTTTTTTATTCGCGACGCCTTTTCGCGTCCGCGTGACACGCAATTGCGTAATTTCGCTGCAATTGCGGTCGATCGGGAGACGTAAGCGGCACGACGACGAGTCGCGCTCATTATCGCGCGCAGGCCGGGACGACGTTGCTGCATGCATTCGCAATTGCGTGGGACCGAAATTGCGATTGTTTAAATGTCACGAGACACCGGCGATTCGTGTCACGAGTTCGCGATTCGCGATTCACGCCGCTTCCGGCGCGGCGTGCGGCGGCATCGCGATTTTGCAGCTGTGCAGATTGGCGGCGAGCCGAGCCGTCGCATGTTGCGTCCGCATGAAAAAAAAAGGGACGTCATCCCTGTGCCACTTGCAATGAATGGCATTACAATATTTTAAACGCATCTCGCGCTGCACGCGCGACTGTCATTATATGAACGTTCAATCCCTCGTTCGTCGCGCCGAAAAATAAAATATCAGCTTGACGAAGCTGCATCGTGCAGAATTTCTGAAAGCAACGATGATTTGAAGACCGCGTAAATTCCATCAAAAATTCTCGATTCGATGCCAGTAAAAATGTCACAGTCGATCGTCTGCACAATCTAGTACCGATTGACTCCGCGTTGATCGGAGAGAATTTATACTTTCTTTCCATTGTATATTATTGAAATTCGTCCGTTATTACAATTTTTTTATCCACAAGCTTGCACGAAGCGACGGAAGCCGAAAGAAAGAAATGACGGGAAAGGGATGTTTTGCGAGCCGGCTCATCTCCGCGGAATATAACGGAAGCATAATATAATGCTATACGACACGAAATCTCTCTCTTTTCGCTCACTTTATGTCATTGTCTGCGCTGCCCGCTTCGCTGCATGCGTGATGCATTTTTGCAGCAGGAATTCTCTCGATTTAGTATCGCGACAAGCGTCCAATTACATAAAGGAAGGCGGAGACGTCGCGGGCACGTGCCACAAAATCGCACGTGGCCAATTTGTCATGTAATATACGAGGCGCGACCCGCACGATATCGTGTCACATCGCTATGGCTCCTCGTCACCTATCGATTATAAACGTTATGCAACGTTACACGGTTTTGCGCCTGCGGATATCGAAGAAGATATCGAGATTGATAACGATGAGTAAAACGAATACTGTAATCTTGATATTATCTCAACTCTCAGTATAATTAAAAATTTTAATTACATTAAATTCCTAGTAAATAAAACAAAAAAATTTTATTTCAACTACGACTTGTGTTTCGATGATTTTTTCAGAAAATATCATTAAAATATCGCAAAATGCGCCGGACAATTATAATCCTCTTAGCAAATATTCAATTCAATTTTAATCCTCTTATAGTGAATATTTAATTCTATTATAATCCTCTCATAGTAAATATTTGATTCAACTCTAATCCTCTTATACAGGAAGAGAATTTTATTTCAAAATTTGACCTTGAAAATCATGTTAATCGTAAGACAGCATAGTATTTCGAGGGGTCAACCACTATGGCAATCAGTGTACATTTCTTTAGGAATATTGCCAGTATTGC